TATTAGCCGATTTGAAAACATCAAAGTGTTGCGTTTCGTAATCTATTGTTTGTTCGTAAAAAAATTTTCTTTATTATACGCAAAAATTTTCTTACTTCCTAAATTCGCGACTAAAAACTTTATTAAATTTAATTGTTGCGTATTTACCTTGGTGGCGAAGATTTTTGACTTCTTCCCAAAGTTTCTTTCTCTCTTTCATCGTCTCTTTAGCAAAGTCTTCTTGTATATATACTCCACTTCCTTTTAAGTTTTTAAGTGAACTTAAAATTTTAATTTTATCTTGATAGTTTAACAGTTTCACTACGATAGTTCTTGGTGTTTTGTCTTCTTTATACGATCCAATTCCATGCGCTCAATCCACAGTAATTTCAGTTGAAAATTTAAGGTTGTTTGTAAATTTTTTTTTCACAGATTTCTCTCATTCGCTCCAACGTTTTCCTGGTGAATCTTTCAGACCATCGACTCTAATGTTGTTACGACGAGAGCGGTTTTCAGTCAGTATTTTTTTTATTTATATTTTTAATTTCAAGATCATATTTCTTCCTTATTTGTGTTAATTCCTCCTTTATTTTTTCTTCTTGAAAGTTAAGAATTTCTTTCACATCGTTCAAGTCTTTTTCAATATTTCGCATGTTTACTCTGTTACTATTTAATTCATTTTCTGTTTTTTCGATTCTATCAGTAATAATTTTTATATTTCCACTTACTATTTGTGTGAAATTCCTTTCCTTTTTTTTTTTTTTTTTTTGTTCTTTATTACAATATTTAATACAATATTTACAAATATATAATAAGAAAAATTTACATGCAAAAAAATCGTTACAAAAAAATAAAGAATTAAGATAAAGAACGCGGATACTCAAAGAAGACCATACAGGTCTTGTCACCGAGAACCGCTGTTGAAGAACTTTGATCTTAGTTTAGATTTTAGGAAAAACAAAAATAAATAAACACAAGTTTTTAACTTTTTTAAGTTATGGTCTTTATGGCTGGAATTAAAGTACTAATTCTTCTGAACCGGATGATTCAAGCGAAAACAATAATATCATAGAATTCTTAATAAATAAATACGTCTCGCATCTGACTCGATCACTGATTCTTGTTACTCAAATCTATCAGTTACACTGATCTTAATTGTTAATTAATTAATAAATTAACGAAAATAATAAGAATATGATTGCACTAGGTACATCCAAATGCACTTCAAGATTGTCCAAAAGATTGTGTAGAAGAATTTAGATGCCAAATGATGGTGCCAAATGATGGTGTCATTGTGTGAGAAGCCATAATTATCAAATGTTGGTGCATTTACATTAACGCTTTCGCCGACAAAAATGCTAAACCACTGTCAAAGGATGATTAACTTCCAAAAGTATCATACATACAATGTTTGCAGATACATCCAGTCACATACATCAAATTTTTTTTTCTGTTTTTTTTTTTTTTTTTCTATTTTTTTTTTTTTTTTTTTTTTTTTTTAATAATAATATATATATATATATTTTTTTCATTACAAAATTAAATTCAATATTAAAAGTATATACCGTTCGTAATACAAATTATTTACAAAATTACGAAATAAAATAAAAATTAAAGTAAACAAGTAAATAATAAATGCCTACTGTACAAATAATGTCAGTGGAACTTTAAACAAAATTCAAATAATGATGTTTAACTACAGTTTCTGACATAAACTTTAAACCAATATTGTATAAAAGTAAAATATAAATGAGTGTTGACAAAACTGGGTAAAATTAAAAGTATATAAATATATTTTCAATTGAGAATATTACTTTTTTTAGTTTTCGTTTGAACATATAATAATTCCATTCATGAGAAAAATCAAAATTTTTTAAAATTATTTGGTTCCATCAAAAAGCTCCACGAAAAGAAATGCAAAATTTACCAAAGTTTGTTTGAAATTTTGTTTGTTTAATAAAATTATCATTTCTTAAAGAATATTTGTTTTTTTCTTTTAAAGAATATAAATCAAAAAAGGAAGCTGGAGAAGAGTTGGTTTTACATTTAAACATAAAACAAAGAACATTATAAACATTTACTTGATATATATTAAAAACATTCATGTTAAATAAAAGTGACGTTGAGTGAGTAAAACGATTTTTGAAATTTATAATACGTGCAATATGCTTCTGCTGACAATAAAGTGGCTTTAATTTACTTTTATGGGTACTACCCCATGCAATATTAGCATAATTAATATGACAGTGTATGAAAGAGTAATATAGTTAAGTTAGTGAATGTTTGTTTAAAACGCTACTTGCTTTATATAAAACTCCAATGCTTTTTGCAATTTTGTTGCATAAATGTCCGATGTGATTTTTCCATGATAGATTTTCATCAACAATGATACCTAGAAAATTTGTGCAAACTACTCTTTTTATTTGAATATTATCAATATGAAGAAGAGGCATATTACTTGGAAGTAGATGTTTTTTAAATCGTGGATGAAAGAAAATCCATTTAGTTTTATCAATGTTGAGTGAAAGTTTATTTAACTTAAACCAGTCAGATATTTTTATTAGTTCAATGTTCATATCATAAAAAAGTTTGTCGATGTTATTATTTGATAGGAATAGGTTTGTATCATCAGCAAACATTATAGTTGTTAATTTTGAGACTTCATGGAGATCGTTAACATAAATTAGAAATAATAAGGGCCCTAGTATAGATCCCTGTGGAACTCCACAGGTTATATTTAGATAATCTATATTTAAATAATCTTGTGAAGAAGATCCGTCGATATAGACAAATTGTTTGCGATGTTTTAAATAGCTTTTTAGTAGTTTTAAAGCATTACCGATAATACCATAATGTTCAAGTTTTTTAAACAGTATTTCATGGTCAATTGTGTCGAAAGCCTTAGATAAGTCTATAAAGACGCTTAAAGTGAACTCTGACTTTTCGAAAGAATCAGTTATACTACGAGTAAGATGAACTATTGCATGTTCAGTAGAGTTATTTCTTTTAAAACCATATTGGTTTATGTAAAGTATATTATTAATAGCAAGATGATTAGATATTTGATTAAACAAAATTCTTTCTAAAATTTTTGAAAAAACAGAGAGGATAGATATTGGTCGATAATTACTGACATTAGACGGTTCACCTCCTTTAAATACAGGCGTTATTTTGGCTATTTTCAATTGATCGGGGAAAATTCCTTGATTAATAGAACGTTTAAAAACTTTAAAAAGAATATGTTTTATGGTATTGTATGAATCTATGACTATATTACAATTTATATCATCAGGTCCAACTTTCTTGGTCTTTTAACAACCTTTCTGTTTCTTTAAGCAAAGTTCTTTTTTGTTCTTCAAACTTGTTGGAAATAATTTTTTCAATATTTTTGATCGTTATTTCCATTTTTTAATTAATATTTTTGAAGAGCAGTCAAAAACACGTGCGTTCGCGGCAAAAACTTTTTTCAGAAAAAAATCTATAAAATTTTCTATAAACTTTTAAAACATATGGTCTATAGAAACTGGCCTATAGACTTGATTTGCTTGATGCTGCTTATTCTAACACACATCAACTTTATATTAAAAAATTATTTTTCATTATCACCGCTCTTTCTATAACAGCTAACAAATAGACATGAAAACCCCTTAGAGACTGAATGCAAGATCAGACCTGTGTTTGAAGAGCTCACTAAAGAGGAGAGCTTTGAAAATGTCTTCATGGCAAGACTGAAAATTTGTGCGGCCGTGGCGCAGTGGTTAGAGCGCTTGCTTTATAAGCAGGAGATAAAGGTTTGAAACGAACTTTGGACATATTTTCGCGTCATGGTAAGGAATAGGCGAGAACTTTCTGGTTAAATGCACATCCGCGGTGCTCTGTGACAAGACCGTTAGGTCTTTTGGCACCTAAATAAAATTAAAAAAAAAAAAAAAAAAAATGCGAATGATTTGTTTAATGAAAAAATTTGGAATTGCATGGCAAAAACAAAATTTAACACTTGACCGTGCTTAAGTTTGTTGTGTATGACGTAGTAGCTAATTTATTATTGAAATGAAATAGTTATAAAAAACTTCAGGGTGTTATACAATAAACGGTTTGAATGACATTTAATATCATTCAAATAATTTATCAAAAATCCCATTAAATTGTCGATTTATCGAGGAAAACTGCATTAAAAATTGTGTTGCCAAAAAGATAAAGAAAATTGACAAAACTTTTATTTTAGATATTGGGTAAGTTAGTAGATTTTTTAATTTACTTTTTGTGGTTTGAAGTTATTAATCTGCCAATTACTAGAGAACCACTTAAGCTTTTTGTCTGAAATTTTCGCATCGTTTTTCTTTTTTCAATAAGAACTGTATTTTAAACCAATCAAGATATATTAAAGAAAAAATCAGTATGGCTAGTTTACCTTTCAAAAAATAACTTTTTTTATCTGACACCATTTTAAGCGGACAGGTCCTCAGACCCAGAATTTTTTTTAAAAAAAAACCTGTTTCGTTTAAAACACACATTATCAATGAACCGCTTATAAATTTGTGACTAAAGTTTTACTTGGCTTTCTATTTTTTATAAATTTTTGCTAAAATCTGACCGGCGCAAACTACTTTTTTGCTTATTTCTGGGTTGACAAGAAAAAAAAAAATTTTTGTTTTGTTAATTTTATGCTTTTATTATATTATTTGTTACTTTATGTCAATATTGTCTATATTTAAAAATGTGTGTAGGGGGGAGGGGGGGCAAACATCCCTTAGAATTACAGAACCGGCTCCAAAAATACTCAAATTGTCATGAATTTTTCAACAATGAAAAATTGTAATCCTATAAAAAATCTTTAATTTTAATTTTATGTCAAAGACTAAATTTCAAATTGAAAAAAACAATATTAAATTGAAATTTTAAATGCATAAACAAATATTTTAGAAAAAGATGCGTATTTTAACGCCTAATTTATTTTATATGTATTAAATTGCAACTTTGTTGTCATTGGTAACATTGGAATGAGATAAAAAACGGAACCATTGCAAAAAGAAAATTATTTGATAAGAAAATAAGCTTAATAAAATTGTCTCACTTGTTTCTTATATTGTATATTGCGTTTGAAATTACGCACTTTTTATTAAAAAAAATGTTTTCTTTAAATTAACAATCAGTTAAATTTTTAACTTCGACTCTTATAAAGGTTATGATGAGATACTTCATAATCTTAACGATCATTTTCCACTCTTCTTCCAAGATAAGAAAGGATACTGGCTGGAACACCAACATGCTAATTTTGATATCGTTTCTAAGAACATGCATCGATTCTTTTCGTCAACTATGTAAATAACAAAATATATAAACAAACATAAAATTTATAGAAAAAATGATTAACATAAATTATTTTGAAATGTGCGAGGAAAAAAAAAAAATAAAGCTAATTTTTTTTTTTACGTTAAGCTCTTAGAAAAAACCTTTTATTAACTAATAGTTTTCATTTTGTTTTTAAAATAAACAGTTAGGCTTATCCTAAAAATGTAAAAAAAAAAAAAAAAATAGTTTAGTGAAATACTGTTGTCACATGCAGACCCGTGGCTAGGCTACACACACCCTAATAAGGGAGAGGGTAGCTAGCAAATTTATGGGACCCTTAAAATTTGACAGTTCAGCAATGCCTCGTAGCAGTTGTAAACCGAATGCCGAAAGCACCATGTGCTTTGACGTTAACAACATTTTTTAAAAAAGTAATTTTTTCAATACATACAGCACAACTTCACACCCTTTATTTTCAATCTTTGAATGCGTTCTTATGGCAGCTACTATTTCTTCGCAAAAAACAGACAAACAAAACTTTACACATTGTCTCTTTATTGGTTGTGAGTGCAATAGTCTTTACAGTTAAATCAGTTTAACTGATAACTAATTTAACTGATTCTTTGCTCAGTTTTATATAAGGTTTCCAGATGACTTCACTTAGCCAAAGTTCTCCATTGTGCAAAAATTGAAGCTCGCCAATCTTTTCTTTTAACCAATTGTTTCGTATAGATTTTAAGAGATGCACATAATCATATAATAAATATATATACCAAATGTTGTTAACCATGGTTTACTATAAACTGTTTTGAACATTTCAAAAAATCTTTGATTTACACGCTTACCATCAGTAATTACCGTCAATGTCTTACTATTATCAATATTATTTACTGTATCAACAATTTATTGACATTGAGCAAACTGAAATTTAGAGGAAAGAATTGCAACAGATTGAGCATAAAAATTCTGGACCTCCAAAAAGACATTTAATCAAAAAACGATAAAACTATTTAAGTTAACTTTTCAGGGTAGTTGACTGCATGATTGAACATCTTTGATACCTCTCTGGTAAAGTAATAGAGCTTTGACATCAAATAAAAGTATGGAAGTTGTTTTCGATGGATCTAAATTCATAAAAAAACTATTATGAAATTTAAGTCCTCCATTGAGCATTTTTTTGAAGTCAATCGTATTAAAAACAGTATATTTGGCAACTTGTAGTTAATACACAAACGATCGTATAAACTTCTTTTCGCATAACAAAATACTCTACATGTAATATCTGAAGTATGTAAAACTTCACTTACATCAACTTTTTTTCATAGCATCAAGATACTCGCATAGAATATCTAACTGATGCAAACTTTCTTTATTCTTAAAAAATCTAACTGCTTTATATAAAGCTGATTTTGTTTTTATTAATTTTAATTTGTTAAAGATACAGTTAAAGATGAAATACTACAATTTGCGCCATTATGGTAAGCTACAAATGAATAATCATCGAAAATTTCTAAAAGAAATAATGGAATACCAAGTTTGTACATTTTTGATTGTATGTGTAAATTTTTAGAAAAGTTTTTGATTAGAGGTATTTAAAAATTATTTTTCAATAATTATAATAAAAATTACAAACAAACTTTTTAACAAAAGTTGTTGGACAAAATTTTGCCACATCTGATTTTGTATAAAAATATGCTCTATGTTGCTTATTTTAAGTGTCAAAACTATATTATTACACATTAGCTACCAGTTGCCTATTCAATGATCATACGAAAAACCTTTGAAAATCTGAAAAAATATTTTAGATGCCAAACAGTATAATAAGCATCAGTAGATGAAATCTACTTATCTGAAAATTATTGAAGTCTTAACTGGATTACAAGCAAGATATACTAAGTTCTATTGTTTCCTGTTTTCCATTCTGTTGCTATTGAATCACAATGCCTTTTGGATTACGAGCAAGATATAACCATTAGAAAGAAAAAGTATGGCCCATAAGAAATTTAAATGTTGGACTAAAGATATAACCATTAGAAAGAAAAAGTATGGCCCATAAGAAATTTAAATGTTGGACTAAAGATATAACCATAAAATGGAAAAAAAAGTATGGCCCATAAGAAATTTAAATGTTGGACTAAAGATATAACCATTAGAAAGAAAAAGTATGGCCCATAAGAAATTTAAATGTTGGACTAAAGGATCATAAAAATAAAAATCTTAATTAAAATTTACATGTTAAAAAATAAAAACAAATGCTAACTTGAATTTGGCAGCCCAAAGTTAATAAGATACAAATGAAATAGTTTTTTTTGTTGAATAATGTAATAAAATGAAATCATGAAAGCCTAAAATGGACAAATAATTGGGGGTTTTATGAAGATCAGAAAAGCAACAGAAAATATCACATGCCTGACAGAATTGATTGGGGTATTTTAAAATACTTACATTACTCATATACAAAACTAAGCAAGAATTTTTAAAAAAAGGCCTACTAAAGATAAAAAATAGATTATTTTGAGAAAAGTAAAATACTTAATAGCGTTGATAAAAAAGATTAAATAGATACAGAATTTACTCCTTCAAAAAAAAAAAAAACATTAACAAATCCAAAGTATCAGCAAAGTAAATTTCTATTGTTTGGTATAATCTAGCATTTTAGGTCAGTTTATAGAGGCTTTCAAGAACTCAGACCTCAGAATATTGAGCAACAGTCAAACCTTTGAATCTTTGAAATAAAGTAACTATGCACAAGTATTTTATAAATACTTGGTGGCATAGCAACTATATTTATTAAAAGTAATTTTAACAGTGCAGCAATTTTTAAATTTATTAAATTATACCAATTATTATTGTAAGAAGAACAATATCTCTTTACAATATCTATATCGAGCTCTGTTATTTTGGAAAAATCTCCTTTTACAGTATTTATATTGTTGCTATTACTTAAATGCAATATGAAAATAAATAATCTTATCAATCAATGCAAATTTGAAATAACTTAAAAAGTTTCTTTTTTTAAAAGGTTTTTTTCCACTATCATTCTATTCATCCTATCATCTTTTTGGTCGCTACACATATTTCAAGACAGAAATGTTTTTATATCAGTTAACGAGTTAATTACTAAATATAAAAGTAACCTCCATAGTAACCTCCATAGTAACAATTGTACTAGCAATATTAGTTGTTTTAGAAAGTTTTAATACATTTAAGATTAAAGACTTCTTATTCTTTACACGACTGCAAAGTTTTTTTATGTTGCAGGTGAAAAGATCTACAAAAAATTTTCATTTCAATATTTTGAACTTGAAGCAGATAAGAGTTTTAGTGATAAACAGACTATTTCTTTGCTTCATTATCGAACTTTTGATTATAAATGTTTAAAGATTTTATCAAACCTATTTTACAAACAAAATTCCATTTATCTCAACCTAAAATTATATAAAAATAATCTTTAATTCTTGAAATGATATGATATAGTTTTGTAAAAAGTGTTTTTCTGAGATTTCAGTAAGCATGAACACCTTCAACATTTCAGTTTTTCTACTACAAGCTATTTATGACAGGGATATCTTTTCAAATTAAAAAAAAAATTTTTCACTTGGGAAATAAAAAATTTCTAATATTCTAAACAGTTTACTTAATTTATTATAAGAAAAGTTTTAATAAATTTAATAATAAATTTAATAAATTGATTTCATTGTTTTTTATCGTTTACTTAAAACTCACATAGTCGAAAAAAACTTTTTATATCTAATAAAACACTTTATAAACAAAACACTTTAAAAAATTTTATAAGCAAAAATCATAACATAAAACAACTATTATTATCAAGAAAAAGTTTTTTTTCTTCAAACCAAAACAAATATTTGAGTATTTTTACAAACATATCTGATAACTGTTTGTTTTTCAAAAAAAAAAGAGAGGGGAGGACATTGTTTTAAAAAAAATTGTGTGGTTTAATCTAAAATATCTTTATAAATAACAGGAAGCTGCAATTACTCTAGGGTTAATTTGAATATATATATATATATATATATATATATATATATATATATATATATATATATATATATATATATATATATATATATATATATATTAATAGTTATTTGCAACTTTTTAATTTGCAACTTTTAATCAATTAATTTGCAACTTTTAATCAGCTATTATGTTCATATTTGTGCATATAAAATTTACATATTAATGGATTAAAACTTACATAATTGTGCATTTAAATTTACAAAATCATAGATTAAAATTTACATTTTTGTGCATTAAAATTTACATAATTATGGAATAAAACTTACATAATTGTGCATTAAACTTAAAATTATTATAAGGAAAAACTTAAGTTGGTAATTGTTTTTAAAATAAAAAATACATTTCTATTTATTTGAGTTAACATTGTTAGAGATTTAATAATTTCAAATAAGGTTGATCATAACAGTTTTCAAATTTTATGATTATTTTCACATACATTTTTATATTATATGTAGAACCTATTTAGGTTGCACAAATAATATCAAAAAATCCTTTATAACTTTAAAATCAGAGCTGTAGACTTGTACATTGCAAGAGTTTGTAAAGTTTATGAATTAATTCCTTCAAACTACACTAAAAGCATCCAAAAAATGATCAATTCTGAACATTATAGTAAACACTCTATAGTTAACCAGATAGGAAAGCAGTACTGGTGGCTTATCAATGTTAATAAAAATGTTTTATAAAAAAGACCATATAGATTGAATAATCACCTGATGATTAATATCTAATACAGGATAATAATAATAACTAAAATATAATAATAAAATATAATAAAATAAAATAATAAAAATAACTAAAACTCAAAAAACAAAAAAAGAGTATCTAAATGATAAATGATTCAGCTGCATATGCATGTATCCTAGAATAAGATGTAAAGAAAGTTGTTAGTGGCTAGATTTGAATGATATCATTAACAACAATTTTTGTGGACAAAATAAAACAAAAACTGGTAGATAGTCAATAAAACAATGACAAAAAGTGAAGTATAATACTTATATATAAAGCTATCGTATAGAATTTTACTTATAGAGCTTACTTGTATAGATTGATTGAGCAACCTCAAGCGTCTCAAAAAAAAAATATTTCTCTGCTGATGGACCAGGTAAACTCTATCCAATTAATCAAATATAAGATTCTGACTTAAATAAAATAAAAGTTCTGCAAATTAATTCAAGAATTGTTTAAAAGTTTTTTTGAAGTGAAATAGAAGATTTTGATATAGGTTGTACAATCTAAAAAGTAAAAAAAAAAACTAATAACTAACAACAATATGGTTGCCTGACAACTTACCAAACATTAATCTGATTAAGAAATAATGAAAGACATTTTTTCAGATTTGGTTTCAAAAATCCTGGCATGAAGAATTTTGAAAAACTTGTGACATTTTGGTTTATTTATGCCAAATTGTGTGCAAAGTATTATAACAACACAAGAAAAATATAAAATATTATCTCAACAAGTGAGAATTTATTTACATAACTATTGTTAAAGTTTGGCATGCTCGTCGTCTCCATAAACTCTCCTCTTACAGTGTATCAGGTAACATCTTTAAGACTTTTGAATCCTTCCTTACCAATTATAGTATAAAAGTTGTGCTCAACGGGTAGCACTCTTCTTCATTTCCTATAATTTCAGGGATTCCTCAAAGTTCTATCCTTGGCACTATACTTTTTTTTAATCTACATTTACAATTTCGCAGAAATTCTCACATCTAAGGTGGCATTGTTTGCTGATGATACTACCAATTATTCTTGTCTTGACAAGAAGCCAACACTTTCTGATTGCTAAGAGGGGGCATTTGAGCTTGAAAAGGATCTCACTTCTGCTACAGCATGGGGCTCTCAGTAGCTAGTGAACTCTAACTCAGATAAAACTTTTTTTCAGCTAATCGTTATCACAACAATCTAGATCTCCTTACATTTATGAACAGTAATGTATTTGATGAGTCATCTACCCTTTGTCTTCTAGGATTAAGTCTTACTTTCAATTTTTTTTGGAAACCATATATCAAATTCATTGCAAAATTAGCACCTGCTAAGGTTGCATCTTTTTATCATGCTCTCTACTTACTCAGGATTCTATTCTTTATCTCTATAAATCTCAAACCCGTCCAACTGTTGACATATCTGGTAAGGATCTTTAAATGATGCCTTTTCTCTTTTAGACAAGGTGCAAAAACGCATTGTAAACATAGTTGGACCTGCTCTTGCAGCCGAACTCCAACCATTGTCACATTATCATAATGTTGCTTCTCTTTCTCTTTTCTATAAATACTATAACTCTTGTACAATCTGAAAAACTAATTCATCCTACTCGTCATTCAACTAAGTTTCACTCTTTTACTGTAACTGTTCCTAAGTGCTCCTAAAATTCTTATTCGTCAAGTTTTTTTCCTAGAACATCAGTTCTTTAGAATTCGCTCCCGATTTCTTATTTTCCTTATTCATATAATCTGCAATCTTTCAAGTCGTCTGTTAATTGTTATGTTATAAGTTTTATCTTTACTCTTCCAGTAATTTGCAGTAATCTCTTATTTTTAACTAAATTGCATTTCAATAGTATTATTAATTGTTTTCTTAGGAATTCCAATCATCAATTGTTCAAGAAATTAATTTTTCAGACGTTGATACTTCTATAGAAAATGGCGCTAAAGAAGATAACGCAACTCACAGTTTGTTACAAAGCAACACTTCTATTTTGGAAGCAGAGACTGTTGCTCGTAATAATTAGCTTGCATATTTAGTCAATCCAGTTAAAGAAAAAATGTTGAATGCGTTGTGAATAGTTTTACCAATCTTACTAAGCAAAACAAAAAAGAAATCGTAGAACCATCAAACTTTAATTCTACTACAATTTCAGATTTTCCGTTTGCAAATCCTTCCTAATTTTCTTAAGTAAAACTCTAATAATGGTTGCTTGTTGGAAGTGGAGTTGTTTAAAAAAATTAAAAACTTCAAACTCTAATAATGGTTGCTTGCTTGTTGGAAGTGGAGATGTTTAAAAAAATTAAAAACAAAAAAAAAACAACATATGTAAATAAAAAAAATATAAATTTATTAGATTAAAAATTGCTATTATTCCAAAAAATGAAGGCATATCTTGAAGCAAGTTATAATCTAAATATACTTTCCTCTTATCAACATAATTAATAGATAAACTTTAAAAAAGTCCCAGTAAATTTTTGTGATAAAAAAAACACAGTAAGAAATAAAAAATTTTAGGAAGAATATTGTTATTGTTTAAGGAAACTCCAGACAAATATCAGCAATGTATAAAACATGTGTGCTAAAATCTTACCCTGTCATAGCCACGCTCTTTCTTTTTGTTCTTTTTTCTTTCATTCTGTTGGTAATTTTTAATCTTGTCCTCTTCTGCTTTTATAAAGTAAGCTTTTTCAGCACATTCTAAATCGCGGGAAAAAAAAATTTTGAATGTCAAAGTTGGTAACATTTTAACATTGTAAAAATTAATATCTTTATTTTATTTAAATCAGAACACCAAAAGAATAATTCTTTCACAAAAAAAAATTATTCATTTATACCAATATAAATTTAGATACACTTGTGCCTTATAAATTTAAATTCACTAGTACTTTATACTACATAAATTTAAATTCACTAGTACCTTCTAATCTCATTTATTCAAACAAAATATAAATTTAGATACACTAGTACCTTCCAAACTCATTTATTTAAACTTAATAGATTTTATATACATTAGTACTTTCTAATCTTATTTTAGATACATTAGTACTTTCTAATCTTATTTATTGAAACAAAATTTAAAATTAGGTACCTTCTAGTCTTGAAAGTGAAAATTTCTCAAGTTGTTTGTTTTTCATTATTTTATCTACATGTTCCTTTGTTTTGAATCGAATATAACCCTAATTTATAATGATATTAGATGTTACATTTATACAACAACAACTACAACAACAACAACAACAATAACAACAACAATAACAACAAAAAGAACAACTACTATTGCTAAGAAATTAAAAAAAAACTTTTAACATCTTTTTTGTGCTCTTATTTTTGTAATTTTTTATTATCAGATTTTATCATAAAATGTCGAACTTTTATCTTTTTTTTTTGGTCACAATAAAATTTTGATATGCACTTTTAGATAAGTACTTAGAAATATGTACTTTAAGGTATGTAATTTTTATATGCACTTTTAGTTAAGAACTTTAAAATATATACTTTAAGGTATGTAACTTTGATATGCACTTTTACATATGTACTTTAAAATATGTCCTTTAGGGTATGTAATTGAAGATACCTATACTGAGATAAGTACATTGAGATATGTACTTTTAAATATGTACTTTGAGATATGTCCTACCTGTAGAGCTTTGATAGGATGCACTTCATTGAACACTGTTTTTATTTATTTTGTAACATTAGTCTTTAATTTGGTACATTTTCATAAGTGTGCAAAGAATGGCAGCTGATGCATAAGTTATTGAACAAAAAGGTGAAAAATAAGGTTCAGTAAAATGTTTTCACAAAAATTAAAGAAAAAAAAAAATTATAAAAAAAGTAAAATCGTAAATCATTTCAAAAAAAAAAAAAGGGGAACAGCACAAAATACAATGATAAAAATAAAAGACTTGAAACTGATCAATTTCTGGTAAAAAGCATTCTGGTGTAGAGAAAAGAAAGTTGACATCGTGGAGTATAGAAAAGAAAGTCACATAAAAAAGACACTTATCAAGAACTGAAAAAGGATTAAGTCATAGAAAATTGGGTTTTAAAGTCTCACACAAATATACTATTGACAACAAAGAAAAGCAATATAAAAAAAAAGAAAACTTGGTAATTAAATCTGGTCATTGATGATGACTTTTGTTTAGCAGTTGATAAAGTGGAAATTCTGGATACTGCACAGACATGAATGTTTAGAAAAATGGCTTCTTCCATTCATTCACAAGCATCATGGTAACTTTAAATATTTATTTTGGCCAGATTTAGAATGTTCTCATTATTCTCAAAATTCTCTAAATCATGAAATATGCCTAAAACACGACAGGATGACACAGCAGGTTTACTAGGGAAGTTAGCAAGCCTCACTAAAGAAAGTCTTAATTGAATGCATCAAAATAAAACTAAAAGAAAATGTTTAAAAATTTTTACAGTTACTTATGAAAGATTTCAAAGCAAAATTGAAATCTATTGCAAATTCATGGAGTTTTTTCATATAAAAAATAATATATTTGTATTCACAAAACACTTTCATTACCTATTTTAAAAACCATGCATGTAATGCTTGATTTTAATGTATTTATTCAATGTAACTACTAGCACTAAATCCAACCAAAAGTAACAATAAAATACCATTCTCTACAGCTCATTTTCAAGTGTTTTCAACAACCATGTAACTACATTTAAATTATTAAATGTATATAATAAATTAACTTTTATTATCTAGTTTAAAAACTATGTATGGAATGTACAACCAACTGTTAATGCTTGATTTCTTTTGGATTGCTAGGAAACATTAAATTTTTTCTTCTTTTACTGCCTTAATGGCTTACTGAACATGACCTATCTTTTAATGGCATGCTTACTGAACATGACCTATCTTTTAATGGCATGCTTACTGAACATGACCTATCTTTTAATGGTATGCTTACTGAACATGACCTACCCTTTAATAAACAAGTATAGTATATTCAGAATTTAGGATTAGTAGATTTTAAAATGCCTTATTAAATTAATTATCTTTAAACCATTAAAATGGTTATTTATTCTTTTATAAATAGTAACAATAACAAATTAAATGAAAGTCCTTTCATTTAATTTGTTGTTACTATTTATAAACTTTTTTTCTTTCAAATTTTATCCAGATATACAGTTTAAAGTGATCTTTCATAGTTATTCATTTTCTAAAATTTACCAGCAATTACCAATGTTTTTTACAGAAAATACCAGTTTGCCAAATTTGTTTTTGAGAATTCAATAATTTTTCAATTTATTTGAATTATTTGAAAAAAATGCCATGTTATTTAATGAGAGTGTTGTCAAAAATTTTTTTATTGACTATATTCTTAGATAAGGATGCAGTTTTCAAGTTTGTCACTTGCAAAAACCCTAAATTTATAAAGTTACAAAATTTAATCATGCCTCATTACCACAAACAGATGAACAAGCATTTTATACAATCTCTATACATAGTTCATTACCACAAACAGATGAACAAGCATTTTATACAATCTCTATGCATAGTTCATTACCACAAACAGATGAACAAGCATTTTATACAACCTCTATACATAGTTCATTACCACAAACAGATGAACAAACATTTTATACATAGTTCTAAAGATTAACAATCTTAAAAATATCAATTAAATTGAAAATGTGAAAAATTGTTTTTTTTTGTGATGAATGTGAAAAATGTGAAAAAATTCTTTTTTAAAATTAAAGGAGGTTTGGGTTCGCTAACACTAACAGACTGCAAATCATTTATATGGATGTAATCTCCAGAAATAAACTTTTTATCTAGATATTAAATTTAGATTTTTACTTGAAATTGTGAAACAGTATTGTCCTTATTATCAAAGGATGCTCTACATTTTAGAATACAACTTTTTTATTAGCATCATTTTTAACTTAAACCATTTTATGAAGTATAAAATGGAAAAATCTGATTATGTCATTAATTCAATAAAACACTAAAATATAAAACTCAGTTTTTCCATCTAAATATTGCATTACATGACAGAGAGGCAGATATTGTTAAGAGGAGGTATTATTTTCATTTGAAAGCAATAAACAAACAAAACATTATATGAAAAAATCATTGTTGTTGCCAAAAACACATTTTTTTTGCTTCCATTTTTGCATCCTCTGTTTGTTACATCACATCAAACAGCCTTTACTTTATTGGTTGGTAGAATACTTATTTGTAGGTCAAATTTTGTCATTGAATATTTGGCTTAATTAAGCTTTTCACAAACTATTTTTTTAAGTGTTTAACATTTCTATAAGATATAGAGTTAATATATATCTTAAGTAGTCTTCATGATTGTTTATTGCTAAAGGCTTCATTTAGAGAACTATCAGGATGTAAGATCTAATAAATAGATATCAAACATGAACAAGTTGACATTTTTCTTGTAGATTAATGATCAAGAGTGCTAACCTAAAATCAAAAAATGGTAAATATTTTAAAGCAACAGCCAAGAACTTAAATTCAAAGGATGATAAATCGAAACAATAGCAAATCACATAAACACTACTTTTATGAACAGAGTTCATAAAATTTAGTGTTTATGTGATTTAAAATTAATAACTGATTAAAAAACTAAATTTGTAAAATAATTCATAGAAATAAATATTCAAATAAGCAATTTATAAAAAAAAACACAAAATATTTATTTAAAATTCTTTTAAATATTTATTTAAAATTGTTACTTGCAAACTTCCATCAATATAGTCAACGTATGCAACACCATGATCAAGCAAACTATCCTGTATGTATATTAAAAAAGTATATGTTATCATGTAAATTCACAAAAAAGAAGTCATTAAAATGTTATAAATAAAAATTAACAAATAATTACTATTATAGACATATAGTGTTGTAAGGTATTTATATTTGTAAATGTCAAAGTTTACTTAGAGACAGTTCAGTGATTTTGTAACTATTCTGTTACGCTTGTCAAAGTTTGACAAGTATGAAACTATAATTTATTTTTTTACACTATACATTACAATATATAAATTTTTTACACTATAATTTTTTTAACATCTGTAAACTCAATCAGACTTAACAACCCAGATAAAAATAAATAAAATTAAAAAAAATCATGTTTTACATTCAAAAGATTTTATATATCTTTATTATATAGTCTATAACCAATGAAAACAGATATAAAAAATCAAATTTTTGAGCAGTTGTGTCTAAATGTTTTAGAATATTTAAATTTTCATTGGATAAAAATAAAATATAATATCTATCATATATCTTTTATATAATTTATTTATCTATTATATATCTTTTAATAAGAAAATGTTGTCAAATTTTATATTTATATTTGCTTACAAAAAAATTTGCAAGTTTGTAACAGAAAAACTTGAGTTTTTTAAGCTAAAAAAGACACAAAATATTTATCTTAAATCTCTATTGTTGATTAACAAAAATTTCTTAAATTTTGGTAAAACTTAAGCCTTATATCATGACAGAATATGGAAATAAATAAGAATAAATAAGTAAGAAGAAATAATTATTATTTAAAAAACTGATCCTGAACTGAAGGGATTTCCTTTGTAACCAAAAAGTCTACAACCAGCAATCAAACTTTTTGAGAGAAAAAACAAAATGAACTCATTCTTTTAGAAAGAAAAACAAAATGTACATGAATTAAATGATTGTCCAAAGGGACACTTAAGAATTGCATCCACTTCTACAGAAAAAATTTCAAGGATTTCAATATGATTATTATGCAAATGACAGTAACAGTCCTAAGTATATAGCAATCAAAGAAAGGATTGAAAAACAAATCAGATAGCAACCAAAGACTAATAGAATATTTAAATGTGTTCTAGTTAATATAAATTATTTAGTCAACAAAATAACAGAGGTGCAACAGTTTGTTATGAACTTTAAACCTGAAATATTTAGGGTAGTTGAAACAAACTTAACAAAAGATTACATTAAGAAAGAAATAAAAATATATGAATATAACAAAAGAAGTGTATTATCATCAAGTACTCATTAAGGAGGATGCACACTTTATGTCAGAGAAGATATAAAAATAATAATCTGTGAAATAGTTATCGAAAACTGAAAAAGGTGGTTAATAAAAATACTAATAAGACAGGTTAATAAGTCTATTTGTGTGATATGTGTATATAGCTCTCCTCATCAAAACTTGATAAAGGAACTTAATGACTTTTATGGATCTTATTTAAGTAATGCAAACATTAAGTAAAATGAAGTTGTTGTTATGAGAGATTTCAACATTGATGTTCTAAAAGAAAATAGCTTCTCAAAAAAATAGAAGAAAGTTAACAAGAATCTTAATCAAAAAATAATAAACAATCCTAGTGTACCAGTTATGGTGTACCAACAAGAATTACTGAATATACAAGTACCTATATTGATCAAATTATTTGTATACTAAATATGGATATAGAAAGTGATGAATCTATTAAGGCAAAAATGTCAAATCATGAGGTAGTAAGCGCCAAATATAAATTTGATATTAAAGTAAAGAAATATGACAATGTGTTAGTAAAATACAAAACTATCAAATTCTGTGACATTACAAATTATAACAAACTAAAAAAGAAAATTATGATGAAAAGTGAAATTAAATATACTGATAAAGACATAAAGAAAATAAATGTTAACGAAATGGCAATTATTAATAATATTCAAGAAAAAATCAAAATTGAAGTTAAAACAAAAATAATATTAAGCAACAGAACACAAAAATAATATTAAGCAACAGAACACAAAAATAATATCAAGCAACAGAACACAAAAATAATATTAAGCAACAGAACACAAAAATAATATTAAGCAACAGATCACAAAAATAATATTAAGCAACAGAACACAAAAATAATATTAAGCAACAGAACACAAAAATAATATTAAGCAACAGAACACAAAAATAATATTAGCAACAGAACACAAAAATAATATTAAGCAACTGAACACAAAAATAATATCAAGCAACAGAACACAAAAATAATATTAGCAACAGAACACAAAAATAATATTAGGCAACAGAACACAAAAATAATATTAAGCAACAGAACACAAAAATAATATTAAGCAACAGAACACAAAAATAATATTAAGCAACAGATCACAAAAATAATATTAGGCAACAGAACACAAAAATAATATTAAGCAACAGAACACAAAAATAATATTAAGCAACAGAACACAAAAATAATATTAAGCAACTGAACACAAAAATAATATCAAGCAACAGAACACAAAAATAATATTAGCAACAGAACACAAAAATAATATTAGGCAACAGAACACAAAAATAATATTAAGCAACAGAACACAAAAATAATATTAAACAACAGAACACAAAAATAATATTAAGCAACAGAGCACAAAAATAATATTAAGCAACAGAACACAAAAATAATATTAAGCAACACTCTGACTATTTAAAAGTATAATCAACATATCAAAACAGTAAATGATGAATGGAAAGAAAATTCTTAAATATTAAGAAAGAAAGTATTGATAACACTTTGTGTCAAATACAATATGAAAAATACAAAAAGTAAAGAAATATCAAAACTTTTTTACTAAGAAAATCAAAAACCAAATATTATAAAAATAAAGTGAATTTGGCGAAATTTTGTGGAAAGTATAAAGAAAAATTACCATTACATCAGATAAAAATTAATGTGTATTGAATTTGAAGATGAAATAATAAATACTCAATAGTCAATAAGTACAATGAATTCCTCATTAAAAGTATTATTTACATCCTAAAATTCAATTAAAAGTGACAGAAAATATAAATTTAAAAATCATATTAGACAAAAATATTAAAGGTTTACATAAGTTCAAACATCTCAAGAAACACTTGATCAACTTGTATTGAATACGCAAGAAAAAATAACAATTTGTAATGAAATGTGAATCTAATGTCACCTGAAGTTCCAAAAGATATAAGATCTATTAACATACTCTCTGTCTATTAAAATTACTTGAAATATGTGTCCACACTTAACTATCTAACCACTTTGAAGTATATAATCTATTTATTAAAAAAAGTTAGAATTCAGAAAAGGTTGCTTAACAAAAACAGCTACTCAAACTATTCTCTCTAGTTGGAGATCTTTGATCAATAATAATAAATTTGTAATAACCATAATGTTAGACTTAAAGAGAGCTTTTGAAACAATTAACAGAAGACTTTTAGTTAATAAATTAAAAAATATATAAAGTGAGAAGTAAAGTTTTTAAATGGATTTATAACTATCTGAATAATATAGAACGCAAATAGTCAAGATTGAAGGAAATATATCAGACTAACTACTGTGTGATGTTGGAATTCCACAGGGCAGCATTCTTGAACCCTTGGACTCTTCATTACATATATGAACAATATTGACAGTGTAACAGAATTTGGTTCAAAATGGTCTTATATTATTTATATGGTCAATGAATTAATAATAATAAATAATTTACAAGCTTTCACCAACCCCTTTTCCCGAAGTATTGTATTGGGTGGAACTGTACTTAAATTATGTAAAAATGTCAAATAAGTAGGTGTGGTATTAGATGATCTATTGAATTTTAAAGTATTTAATATATAGCAAAAAAAAAAAATATTAAAAAACAGGTTATCTTGCGTAAAATATCTAGATATACTACTAAATGAACTTTTGTTCATTTAGTAGTATATCTGATTTTCAAAACATCAATTGCACCACAATATCAATACTGTGCCTCTCTCTTAATAGGAACAAATGAAGGGAATCTTCAAATTCTTTAGCTACTGCAAAACAGAGCAATCATATTAATCTTCAAATGTAATTGGTTTAAACATAGTATTAATATGCCTAATGAACTGAATTGGCTTTCAACTCAATAAATTATTACACTAAACGTTCTTACATTTATACATTATGTTATCAAATTAGACAATATATCTTTACTAAAAAATGATAAAAATGAGAATGTGCATAGTTATTATACGAGAATATCTAAACACTATCATATTCCTCAACACAATAATAATATTGGACGGAGTTTAATATTCTGCAAAGGAATTATATTGTATAATAGTTTGCCATCTTTGATGAAGAATTTTGAAATAAGGAAATTTCTAATGGAAGTTGTAAAATATGTAAAAAAAGTTAAATTAGTTTACTATCAATATATTAGTAACTATATGTAAACAATAAACTAAATTAAAAACACAATGTTTATACTACATTATTTTTTTACATTAGTATTTTTTGCCAAAAAACTTTATTTATTTTAATTTATAAAAGAAATATATATTTGTTTAATTTTAAAAAAAAAAGAATTAAAAATATGATACAAAGAAAATATAGAATTGATAAAGATTTCTTAAAAAAATAAAGCAGAACTTAAAATACTGTAAAAAAAAAAGGAGAGCCATAATTTTTAAATAAACTGCGGGTAAAATATTTTTAAATGTATATTGATGTAGGAACAAAGTAAATAAGTAAATATAAATCTAGGACACAGATTCTTATTTACTTGTAGACTTTACATTATGTAATATTTTTGATTTTAAATCAAATTTTAAATTTGGTGAACCAAAATATTCTTAAAAGATCTTAATCAAAATACAGATGGATTTTTAAAGTAAAAACAAACTTAGTCTCTTTTTCTTTTTCTTATCTCATTTTAAAGAAAAACAAACTTTACCTCTTTTTCTTATCTCATTTTTAAAGAAAAACAAACCTTATCTCTAATTGAAACTTTAACAAAAATATTTTGAAATTCTAAAAATAACTATTAACCTTAATTTCTTTTCTAGTCAAAGTTTTTGAATCTGTTTTCATCATAAGAACTGTTCCTAAAACGACTTCAATTTTAGGTTTTTTAATTTCTTCGCAACTTTTCTGAGCAGATTCTTTGTTTTCTTGAACTAACTCATTGGTCAACTCAGCACTTCTTTTTGCCTCAATAGTTTCACGGATTCTTTCCATAAGTTCTACTTGTCTTACTTTTTCACTAGCAAGCAACTTGAGATTTTTTTTAATCTGGCTGCAGTTTTGCTTTTGGAGAGCTTTATATTCGTGCTTCAAAGATAACCACTTCGTTCTGAAATTAGTGTAAAATACTTTATAAAGCAATAAAAAGCAATCATGGTAATTAAAAATTAGTCCAAACTTTTATTATTATTTTTTAATTATTTATATTAACACAACCTATAACTTGTATAGTTAAAATATGTAACATATTTTAACTATACAAGTTATGAGGTTAACATTCTTCATATAACATGAAAAATGTTAACCTTATAAGTTTATTTCTCACAATTTTTAAATTTGTAAGTAATTTTAGTATGTAAATTCAGCTGGAAAATTAATTTAAAAATTTTTTAAGAGATAAAATTAACGGTGATTATAATTAAGCAAATTTTTTCTAAAATAAACCACTATTCATACTGATAAAATTCATTTTGATATTTTTTTAATTATATAGTATTGATATATAACTTTAAACAAATTTTAAAATATATATATTTTATAAAACAAACAAAAATTTTGGCTTTAAGAGCATCAGTTCATTGTTGGATTTTAACTATTTTGCACCATTTTTTTTTATTTTTTCCTAACAATTAACTCTTGTTAAATTGATATAAATAATATAACACACTAAAACTATTTTTAATACATTTAATTTACATTTATTTTTTTTAATTTGGTCGATTATATAAAACAAGTATGTTCAAGCATGTTTTAATTACATAAATTGACTTACTTATGAACTATATAAAACAAGTGTGTCCAAGTACATTGTATAAAAATAGTGTTCAAGCAATTGTATAAAAAAAGTTGTTATTTTTATTTATTTTTTAAATAAAAATTTAATAAATTTTTTTTTTCCTTAAATAATTTCATAAACTTAACTATTATTTTATTATCTATTCTATTTTTTGTTATATATTATATTTACAAAAACTTTATTAATATCATTTTTTTTTTGTATTCAATGAAAATGATTTAAAAATAACGTCTTACTTTGATATGACATATAATGGAAGAGGTTTGGAATTAACATCTTTTTCTTTACGCTTATGTTTCCTATGTTTTTTGGCTTTAATGTTTTCATCATCTTTTATACTGACCTGTGTTTCATATTCTTGGACACTATCATGTTTTTTGTTTACTTGAAGGTCTCTTGAACAAAGAATTTCAGAAGAATCACTTTTATTTTTCCTATTTGATTTTGAATCTTTAGTTTTTTTAGAGTTATGAATAGAATTTTCATTTGAAGTTTCTACTTCAAATGTTTTAGCTTCATCTGATGAAACTTTGTACTTTTTCTCTGTGTCACTAATATCATTATCATTTTCATTTATTTTTGCTTTTTCTTTTTTTATGCTCTTGTAGTCAGTTGAGGAAACATTGTTTTTTCTATATTTTTCTACACTATCATCTGAAGCAATCTTGCTTTTTTTTGCCTTTACTTCTTTTTCATCATCTGAAGCAAGTATTTTTTTTTTGATTTTGATTTTATCCTTTTCTTTTTCATCATCTGAAGCAACTTTTATTTTTTTTGCTTTGATTATATCCTTTTCTTTTTCGTCATCTGAAGCAGCTTTTATTTTTTTTGCTTTGATTATATCCTTTTCTTTTTCATCATCTGAAGCAACTTTAATTTTTTTTGCTTTGATTATATCCTTTTCTTTTTCATCATCTAAAGCAAGTTTTTTTTTTTTTGCTTTTACAATACTTTCATTTTGCTCGTCATCTGAAGCAGCTTTTTTTCGTCTTTCTTTTACTTTATTTTCTTGGTTTTCATTTAAAATGTCATATTTTTCACTTTCACTGTACCTCTTTCTATCATTTTTAATAGAGTTTGATTTATTTTTATTTATTGATATAATATTTTCTTTACATTCTTCATCTGTTTTATAATCTGAGCATTCACTTACACTATTTTTTTTTCTGTTGCCAGAGCTTTTTGAATCTTCAACTTTCTTATCGCTAATTTTTCTTTTAATATTTTTCTTTGCTTTCTCATCATTCTCATTTTCAATTTTTTTATTCCATTTCATCTTTTTATCAGCTTTATTGAGCATCTAAAATCAGAAAAATATTTGAGTAAGTAAGACTTTATTTATACATGTGATTTAAGTTACACATATAATCCAAATATAAGTACTAGATATTTGGTGTGCATTTAACACATTTGATTTAACACATATGAAATCTTCTACTAAAGTGTATTGAGCCATTTTAAACCTGACAAGCCTTTTCAGCTTCTTGTTGAGTTGAAAATTCAATAAAAGCAAATCCTTTCACTTTGTTATTGTGTTTATGTCTTGGTAAACTAAAATGAAACAAAAAACATTACAAACAATAACTATTACTAATATATAAAATACATTTTATATATATATATATATATATATATATATATATATGTCTATATATATGTCTATATATATGTCTATATATATATATATATATATATATATATATATATATATATATATATATATATATATATATATATATATATATATATATATATATATATATATATATATATTTATTTGTGTGAGGTCGGCATCAGGTAAGCAGAAAAAATGTAAAACAAAAGATTTGACCATAAAACATAGAAACGAGGTCGGTGATTTTTTGATTTTTTGCAGGCCTCAAACACTTTAAAGTTGGCATTAATGCCCCTTATTCCGAGGATTGTGTATTAGGGTGTCCCTTAAAACAACATTTTTGAAAATAATCCGCTTTCACCCCCTAAATGTGTTCTATCTACCACAAAAACACTATGTTTAAATTTCTTTTGAATAAAAAATATTTTAAGGGGTCCCCCAAAACCCTCGAATATTTAATGGGTCCCTAATATTTTCAAAAAAAAGTTTTTCAAAAATATGTCAACCTGGTACTCAAATGAAGCAAAATTATATAAAATCTCAAAAATAATATTTATTTCAAAAATAAATTGTTTTTTTGGTTAAATCACACCAAAAATTTCATTTTTTAACAAAAAATTAAAAAAAATGCATTTGTTATGTTTTTTTATGATAATTATAATAATTAGGTTGAAATTTTTTCAAAATGAATATTATTTTTGAAATTTTTATATAATTTTGCTTCATTTGATTACCAAGTTGACATATTTTTGAAAAACATTTTTTTTTTAAATACTAGAAACCCATTAAATATGCGAGGGTCTTGGGGGACCCCGTAAAATATTTTTTATTCAAAAAAAATTTAAACCTAGTGTTTTTGTATTAGATAGAACACATTTAGGGGGTGAGAACAGATTATTTTCAAAAATGTTGTTTTAAGGGACACCCTATTGTATGTATATATATATATATATATATATATATATATATATATATATATATATATATATATATATATATATATATATATATATATATATATATATATATATATATATATATATATATAGTAATACATTAAAAAAATTACAACTTAAAAAAATATTATTATTATTACTATTATTATCTTTGAAAATATCGCCAATAATATTGTTATAGAATTTATATGATTTAGTCTTAAGGTCACACAATAAAACAAATATTATGAAAATTACATTGACAAGTTTTTAGATTATAAGAAAACAACTATTTGTTAAAAATAGAAAAGAAAATAATGTTTGTTAAAAATTTGTTAAAAATAGAAAAAAAAAAAAAAGAAGTCAATGTTACCCTAAATAAAGGCAAAATTAACACAAACAACAAAACCAATTATCTATCAATATTACACAACTAATTAAACTTATCAATTCATGGCAGCAATACCACTGGTAAACATGTAAAAATATTTCATATCAACATTTTATTACATCAAAAGAAAATATATATTTTTAAGATGTGTCAATGTAACACCACCTTACCTTACCAATATTGTAAAAAATTAAGTTAGTGCTCATAAAAAAAGTAAATATAAAAAGTTTGCAAAAAATCTTTTTTAAAATTTCTGTATATTATATTATGAATATTAAAACAATTTTTATTACATTCTTTCTAAATATCATAACTTAAAATAATAACTTGAAAGAAATCATAAATTAAAATGGATAAAATTTTACTAAAAATTTATATCAGACACAAAAAATGTTTATTATAAAACCTTATGTATTCAACTGTTCCACATTTTGAAAAAATTTCTTTCAACCAGTCATGATCAATGTCGTTAGGAAATTGTTCCTAAAAAAAAGTACAGTTATAAATATAAATCAAATTACAAATATAAAAGTTATAAATAAATACTTTCTGAACATAAATGGAATGTTAAAAATAGGGTCAAAAAAATTTTCTCTAAAATGTTTTTATTCTGGCACTTTTTGTATGGATATGATTTTCAAAACTTTTAAAAGTAATTAGCACCACTTGAGAAAGTCATTTTAATATTTTCAACTCATTTGTTAATATTTTTTTATGAGTGTTTATGCTTTCTATCGAAAAAAGTTTATATGTCAACTGAGACTAATTATATAAAGATATGTTTTTTGCTTTTGGCTCTTTTCATTTTCTTGTTTATCATTCAGAAGAAGAGTCTTTTAATCTAAATTTTTTTGAAATCACAACAAATATACTTTTCAATTATCAATTTGTGATGGAACCTTTTATGAAACATTATTGATTGTTAAACAAGAAAATTATACTTTGAAATTTATTTTGCTTTTAATATACCTGTTAATTTCATTATAACTTTATTTGCAATTTTTTTGTTTTGTTTGTTAAACTTCTTTATTTTTGTTCTTTGATTTTATCAACAAATTGGTAAATAACAATGTTCTTTTTTGTTGGAATCATAGTACATAATATTATGGGTTATGAAATTAGGTTGGAAACACTTTAATGTTATTTTATCTTCTACAAATAGTATTTTTTGCTTCAGTATCAGCTTAAACATAATTTGTATTCATCTTTATTGTTCAAATCTTTTTCATTACATAACTTTAAAATTTCTTTAGATTTCTTTACTTTAAGTTATTACTTATGTATAAAGAAAAAAATCAAAAAAAAACAAAAAAAAAAAAGCTATTTAAACTTATCTTAAATTTATTAAAAGTTAGATAAAAAAAAATAAAAGATAAAAGTTAAATAAAGTAAGTTATCATTTAATTATTATTAATTTGAAAAAAAATCAATAGAAAAAATACACAAAAAAGTAATAAAGATTGATTGCGTGAAAAAAACAGAGATGACAATCAGGTAATGCATAATACCTAAACTGTTCATGGGGCGAATTAAGTGATCGCAAATTGATAATTCTGTAAAAATTTCTGGTCTTCAAATTTTGTTTATCTTGAAAACCATTTGTGCGCGTTTTTTTCAGTCCATTCGTAACAGTTTTACGCATTGTTGATTTTAGAAGTTCATATTTGTAAACATTTCTGAAGTTTTGTTCAATGTTTTTCTTGTCTTCTTTATTATAGATTATTTAACAATTATCTATATTATTATTTATTTATGTAATTTGAAACACATATACTAATTCCTGCTAGAGTGTAGCAATATCACAACTGCTATTACTTAAACTGAATAATATCTTGACGTAATAAAATCATCTTTGAAAGAATCTTTAGCAATTTTACCAATGTAATCTGTATAAATACCAGCAGCTCGATTAGTTGAGTAACTATTACTAAGATCAACGCCATTTTTTTTTAATCAGCTCAAGCAAATCAGGGAAATCAGAAAATGGACGCTCTTTTGATGCCAAGTAGTAAACTGCATTGAATTTCTTCTTAAGTGGTAGCCCTTTTTTAATATCAGTATTTTATATATTCTTTAAAACCTTCCGCAACCGATTTACTCTGATAACCGATGAGATGTGCTTCCTTATGTTGTTTACTGTTGCAATGACATCTTACGCTGTCTTTTTTAATCGACAGAGTTCCAGGGCGAATCCACGACAGAAAAGTTTTTAATACAAGATTCATATTGCTTGCAAAGCAAACAACGTAATCTTACAAAATCATTTCCCTCGAAATCATACTCAAACTTTAAATTAAATTCTTTTTGCCATTTCAAAACAGTATCTAATTTACAATGGTTATTTTTAGTTTTTGGTAAGAAAAATGATGCTATAATTTAAAATACTTAGTTTACTTTATCTACTACGCTTTTAATTTAATATATTTTAAACTCTTAATTTTAAAAGTTTTTAAAACTTTTCAATTTGCTCAAAGTTATTGTAAATTGGAACGTCATTTTGAAAATTAAAGCCATTAAAGTGCCGAAGCCATAGTTAAGAAATAGTTTCTTTAATTTTTCAACCCTTTACTAACATCATAAAATTTTTGCAGACATATAATAACTAACCGCCACTGACAATAACAAATAATACCAAGCTGGAATATTCTGACAGTGTTATGTATTATAAGCATTATAAACAATATTACACGTTGTTTTTTTTTATATATATCTTGTTTTTTGGCATCAATTTTTTCATTCTAATTATTTTTTTTTTAAATGCATATTTTTAATTATTAATAATATTTTTAATTATATTGTACTCACTGGTGTAGAAAAGAATATAAAATCAGAGATTGCAATCTAACTAAGTTTTTTTTATCCTACTTGTCAATTTTTACGTTTCTAAAAAAATCCGCTTATATTTTAAAATCAACCAATAAAAATTTTAAAACCAATGTTTTAGTTACCGTACCGCTAGTAACAATGTTTTTTTATATTTGTAAACACAATAGAAGTTCGTAGTGTGATGAAGATGGTGGTTTGATGTAGCTTTGATCATCAAAGCTACATACATAAATATCAACTACATCAAATGTTTGATGTAGTTGATATTTAATGTACTTTATTTAATTTATTTATATTTCCATAAATTTTTGTCATATAACATTAAGTATTTGAATCCTGCATTTGCTTGTTCTTTTCCTGTATTTATATTTACCCTGCTATGTAAATACATAATACAGTGGTTACTCTAGCTAGATTAACAGCTGTTTTATAAAAGTATTATTTTAAACATGTAAGTTATGAGAGTCGTAATGAAATTAGCTATAGTTGATTTTTAAGATCCATAAAAACTGAGCTCACGATTTTAACATGTAATAATGCTAAAAAATCTGACTTATTTCACATACCAATAATATCATTCAAAATATTACCAGCTGTAACTCTAGTCATTAAATATAATAAAATATGTCAAAATATGTAAATGAAATGTTCTTAATATACTTTTCAAACAATTTTAGATATAAACTCAAATAAAATTTTTTTTTACTTCCACATAAAAACAAGTTTTCTTTTTATGTTACTGACAAAAAAAACTTAAATTTTTAATCCAAAAAATGAAAAAGAAAGAAGAAATAACTTGATGTTTTTATCATCAACCTCAGAGACAATAAACAAGCACTTTTCTGATATTTAGAAAACTGGTAGTAAAAAACTTTAAATTATCTAAAATATATTTTGAGTTAATTGATTTCGGAGATATCATCTACAAAAATGAAAAATATGATTATATGGCAAAATAATCAACTGATACCTCATCACATTTACACACACCTTGCATCAAATCACATGAGCATCAAAAAATATGATGCCTATTACATCAACATATGCATAGGTATGTTACTTTATTAAGTCATATATAATAAAATGATCAAAAGCAATTTTAAAAATTTAAAAAAATTAAACTTACCACATAAACTGTTTTTTGATCAACATTTTCTATTACAGGGAGAGGTAATTTTCTTTTTAACTTTGTTTTATCATTATTTAACTAAATATTAAAAAGAAAAAAATCAAGTACAAATGAGTTCAAACAAATAATATTTATTTAAAAAATTTTCCTGGTTAAAATTTACATAAACCATCATTAATCACCTTATGGCTGTTTTCCACAAGACAAAATAACAGCAAAAATAATTGAATTTTTTTATCAATAGGCATGCACAGATAAAATAATTTTGCTTTTTTTGTTGATTATTCATTTTACTGCAGCAAAAGAAAAATAAAGTCAGATTCATTTCAAACTTTTGCAAATGGTTATGAGCAAAAACCAATCATATTTTTAACTGTATATCACGTGATGTCAACAATAAAAAAACCAAAATGCCTTATTTATTAAAATAAAAACAACAACTATGAACAAAAATGCTCACCTCCGCATTCTTATTAAATTACTTAGAATTCACCCTGAACATTGGCAAGCATTAGTAAATTTATCAAATAAAGATGAATTTACTAATGTTGTCAATTCCCAAAGTTTTATTTATTATTATTCACAAAAAGGTTTATCTTCATTCAGAGTTGAACCATATGTTGTTTCTTCTTGTAACAGTTTTTCCATATATATGTTCCTATATATATGAGATAACTTTGGGTTAGTAAATAGACTGAAATAGAGATAACTTTGGGTTAGTAAATCAACTGAAATAGAGATAACTTTGGGTTAGTAAATAGACTGAAATAGAGATAACTTTGGGTTAGTAAATCAACTGAAGTAGAGATAACTTTGGGCTTGTAAATCAACTGAAATAGAGATAACTTTCAGATAGTAAACCTTTGGGTAGATAAATTAATTAAAAAAAACTATCAATAATCTCAGCTAAACCTGACTTTTTTCTGTAAACCTTATCCTAAACCAGTCTTACCCTGTAAACCTTCAGTAGATCAGGGGCTATTCTAGACTGTTTTCAACAGCGTCAACCGTATTTAGCGTCGCCCAAATTAAAATTTGAGGACCTTTTTTTTTTAATAAAAGTTTTTATGGCAAATATCGCAAAAAAACTGTTGATTTTACGCTAAAGTCCGTCGAAACAGGGAAAGCTCAGGGGAAACAGGATAGGCTCAAAATTTCTGAAATTTTTGTCTCCATGCACTGTAATATTTCCCAAAAGATCAAATTTCAAATTATCATTACCAACAAATAGGCAACTATGCTAATTATGTTAAATTAAAATATTTTGCTTATTATGCTACTCATTTAAGTTTTATATATCAACCACTTAAAAAAGATTTATACCCATGCCTGAGATTTTTTGCATTCTAACAAACTTCCTTATCTAAAGACTTTTCTAAAGACTTTTTATAAACCCTAATGCCCTAACTGATCTTAAATTATTAAAGCTTGATAAACAAGAGTCTACCAAATATATATATAAATATGTTTATTTGGTAGTGATGTAGTGTTAGAGCGCTCGCTTCAAGAAGTTTCAAGTTTGATCCCCAACACATCCCTGATGGTATTCACGCTCAACTTGTTTCTCAACCTTGTTCATTAAGGTTTATGTTTTGGAGTTGCATAGTTTTTCATTACTTTTTTTTTTTTTTTCTTTTATTTATTTTGGCTTGATATAGCGGTTCCTTTAACTTTGGTGAGTTGATTAAATTGAATTAACAAGAATTTAAATCAATTTTAAATTTAATATAGAAAAAAATAGAATGTTGTGAGTAAATAGCACATATTCTGTATCATTTTTAAATAAAAACTGCCATTTATTTAGATTTAAAGAATTTATTTAGATTTAGACAAAATTAAACTTAAGCAATAAATTCATCAAATGAAAAAAAAAAAAAGTGAATGAGAGAGATATATAACACTTAAAACAAAAATAAAAAAAAGGAAATCAAAATATATAAAATTAACAAAATTAAACTTATAAATTTTTTACTTCTTCTAATTTACTTTTAAGAAAAAAAAAAAAAAAAAACATAAAACAAACAAAATAGACAAAAAAAAAAAAAAAACATTTCCAAATAATAGTTTTGCTGTTGAATATTTTTAAATTAACAAGTAAGTTCTTAGTAAAAATTTAGCAAAAGTCACCTGTAGGCTGTCAGAGATTTCAACAGCTTTAACTAATACTGACAAATCAGAAGTGAGAGTTTTAAGCTTGTTAAACTTTAGCATAGTTTTCAAATCTACATCTAAAATAATGCAAATACAGCAGCTATAATGGATATAGTGATAAACAGTTAAAATATAAAAATTTGGTGTAAATAATACCAATAGATGAATAATAAAGATAAACAATTTGGGGTATTTTTGGCAATCAAAATGATGATGTGATGGCAATCAAATGATGATGTGATCACTTTCAAAGACAAAAATAATATTGCACTTTTGTATTTTTTAATTACAATTTACCTTTTATGTAAAGCTTATTTAAATGCTGAGTCAGCATAAAACTTATTGTTAACTTACTTATCACTAAAATTGAAAAACATTTCAATTTTAGTTTGTTAACTTTAGAAAAGTTTTCAATTTTAAAGATTTTTTTGAGGTCAATTATAAATTTATAAATTAATCCTTATTATCTCATACTTGGGATAGGCTTTTAATACTATTAACAATATTATTTTTATAATTACTATTATTAATGTTATTTTATTTAAAATCAATTTTCTTTTTTTATGTTTTCTATTTATTTTGTTTTAATTGATTTCCATTGTTTTCTATCCTTTTTCAAAAAGAATTTCTTTTTGACTGTTATCTAGTTTATGTCACAAAATTGCCTAGTTTGTAACAATATAAATGATACTAACTTAATTTATAATGAACTTTACTAAAATAATAATAATAATAATGAAGAAATAAAAAATTTTATAAATAGCTTTGCTATTGTAATAAAACATGAGCAGACTTGTTTAAATAATTAATTTAAGAAAAAATAGAGACTTAGTTAGAAAGTTCTAAAGGGCTAGTTGAAAAAAGACTTACAAATGAAGTTAAGTTGGAAACAAAATAGAAGGCTCACTTTGAAAAGTTGCTTAAGAGTTTAATTGGAACAAATATTTATCTGTAGTGAATAAGGTTAGTCAACCAGCAGAACTAAAAACTTGTAATAAAGTAAAAATCAAATAATTAGAGTGCTCAGTTATAATGTAAAAAGCTTTTAAGTATGCGGATTTTCAATATGCATCAGATCTTTGTAATGCAATTTTACATGAAGGTAAAAACCCAAATCATTAGAAGAAAAGTTTGATGGTAGATTTAAAAATGAGATACACAAGAATCTTCATGTCTTGGAATATTGTTATAAGTTATTGGCAACAAAATTAGCAGTGCATTTATCAATAATATGCAGATTACTTTTAAGCCAGGAAATAAATCAACAAATGTATTATTTATTGGAAAGCAAGTTCAATAAAAAAATTTTAAAAGAAAAATGACCAATAGATGGCATTTGTGGACCTTAAAAAATCTTTTGATAGAGATGCCATAAGAGGTAGTGTTGTGGGCTTTAAAGTATTTAATTAGATGTTGAAAAAAATTAGTATTAGTTGTTGGTTATGTATGAAAATGTCACAGCAGTAATTAAAAAAAAAAAAAAGATGGAGAGAGCAGCTCAATTTACCATTAGAGTAATTTTATGCAGATGATTTATACCTAATTGCAGAAATAGAAGAGTTATTACAAAGACTTTAAAGTTAAATGAAAGATGAAATGGAACCAAATAGACATCAAAATAGATTGGAACCAAATAGACATTTAGTTTGTTTGGAAATGTACAGCATAAAGATGATTAGGTGCCAGATGATAGGTAGTGGTGAATGAAGTAAAAAATTCTTGGAGAGAATTTAAAAGCTACAGTTTAAGAAAGAAAATGCTCCTAACCATGTATATTGTGACAACATCACTATAAGAAACATCTACCCAAAGCAAGTGTATAAATAGCACACTAAAACTAACTTTTTTTTCACTAAAACTAACTTTTTTAAAATAGAGTCAGTTGTTAAAAAGCCTTCCTTCCCCCAAAAAATTATTGAGGTGACACCAAATTAATTGAAACAACAACACAATTAAATAACTTTACTATGTAGTTATAATGCTCTAAAAATTCCCAATTCTAGGGTATTAGAACTAGTATTAGATTATTTCAGTTTTTACATAAAGAGCTAAACTAATAAAAAATAAAATTTAAAACTAAAAAATTGAAACAATCAGATCCCTTTATTTTAACCCGTTCATACAATGTAACTTATGTAAAAAACATGCTGCAAAATAAATAAATAATAGTAATGCTCATTACTATTATTATTATTATCAATTATTATAAATCAGCAGAAATGAGGACTGAATATCTCAAGAACAATAAGGAGCTGGATACTTAAACTTTCAGGTTTAACAAATAATCAAAAAACCATTTAACATATGTGAATTAGCAAAATTGAAACAAAAGGGTTTATAATATGCTGATTTGGCATGAAATGACTCAGAAGTATGATATATCAATCTAGTTGTGGAAAGTATTCACTTTTTAAAATAAACTTAATGGACAAACCTTAGTTCTACCTCGATAGTTTTGTAAATAAATGATAATCTTTGGTGAGGCAATTGCTTCTACCTCCTTTTATGATTATAGGGTGAGTAAAAGAGAGATTGCTATTTACTGGCCGTATTAAAATGAATATGTATTTCTCAATAAGCATTAAACAAAAAACTGAAAAGTTCATCTTACAGCCATCATTATCGGTTATTTCTTTTCGAAGAAATCGATCATGTCTTAAGTTTGCATCACTGAAGTAAAACTCTAGCTATGAAAATTAAAAACTCCAAATACAAACTATAACAAAAAAACTTAAATACTTTTTTTAATATAATTTCAAAATACCTATTCAAAAAAAAAAAAACTTTTTTCAAACAATTTCAAAATTTATTCTCACTTACCTGATTGCGAGTTTGTTTTAGGAGACTTTTTAGCCTCTTCCTTTGTTTTCCAACTGTATCTTGCTCTGGCATTTCAAAAAATTCAAAAACTTTAAAGACTTTTTATAATTGTATGTTGGGTATTTCTAATAAAAAAAAAAGTATCATTTAAAACAAACATAATGGCAATTAGATTTTTAAGACTTTATTTACTTTTATATATTTCGAAAACTTATTTTCAGCACATGAAACGTAAATACTTTTAATATTAAGACAACTTTTCTTATATTATTTAAAAACCCTTTATTACTTTAAGACATGTTTTGATTACATATAGTAATCATCAGTTAAAACTTTATCCTACTATTATATACCATATTTTATACAGCTTTTAACAGTTTTTTTTTACTAAAGTCATAACTGACGATGAATATATGTAGTCGAAACATGTGTTAAAGTAACAAAATACTTTTAAATTAAGTAAGAAAAATTAAATTAAATATACATATGTATCAGAGGTGTCAAGTTTTCAAAGTTTGTATCAGGGAAACTTTATTATATTGCCCGACTACAAGGTATTTGCCCACTTAATATTTTTACCAGGTGAAATAACATTTAACAACAACAAAAAAAAAAAACCTGTTGTAGTAATAAAAAGAATAGTAATGAAAGTAAAATTCAGAAAAAAAAATTAATTTTTTCTCTTTGCATATTTCACTTTTGAAGGACTTTTTTTTTAATTTAACATTAACCTTTCCTTTTCTGTACATTAAGTTGATCGTTAGTAATCAAGCCAAATGCTCAAGCTAATTTTAGCTTGATGCAGCTTGTATTAACTTGATTTTGGTTCTCTTGGGTTATTAATTTTTTCATGTTTTAAATATAATGTTCAGCTGATTTTATTTATAACAAATTCTTAATATTAAACATTTATATATATATATATATATATATATATATATATATATATATATATATATATATATATATATATATATATATATATATATATATATATATATATATATATATATACACATATATATATATATATATATATATATATATATATATATATATATATATATTTATATATATAAAGCTATAACAATTTTGAAAGTATATACAATACATACAAGCAGCCAGGAATTTAGAATCTGACTATACCACACTATTGTTTAAACTTTTCATAGATTGTTCTTGTTTGCTTTAAGTAGCAGTCAACAGCCACACTACTAAAGTGGTGAAGCTATTTGTAGACACTAAAATAAAAATTCTCAAAATAGCATTTTAAAAATGGCTCTAAAATGTTCATATTGCTAAAATCCTCAACACCTGCTTATTAAAACTGGCATCAAAAAGAAAGAGACTAGATTTCTTCTATTTTATTTAAATCTTTAGATTATCAAGCAAATATTAAAAGTTTTTTTTTTATTTATTAACATTATTTTAACAATTTAAATGATTTTTTTTTTATCCTTATTTAAATATGATTGCATAAAATAATAACAAGGGGACTGAATTGCATTTTTCAGAGTTAATTTAAATTAATTTAAAACATTTACCAGATTTGTTATCGCTCCTATTTCAAAAAGTCGAGTTACTTATATCTTTTTAAAAACAGGAAATGTTATTATAAACAAAAATTTTTTAAATGAGCTGAATATGTTTAAACTTTTTAAGATCAGAACTATTTTGGTCTTGGGTAAAATGGATGTGTGAAAAAATCAGACCCAAACCTTACTTTAATAATTAAAAACATTCCTAGTTTTTAATGTATTGAAAAACTTATCAAAGTGAAGAAACTATATAACTGATTTAATATTCAAGTAATGTAAATATTTTAAAAACTTATCAAATTTATCATTTATTTGTTATTTTTATTATAAATTTATAATTAAGTTACATTCAAACTTATGTTATTTTATAAATATGAAAATTTATTAAACTTTAATTCAATAATTATTTTTCATAAACAAAAAACTTTTTTTTAAATCATTTCTATGGTTAACTATATTGTTAATTTTTACTAGAAACTTTGCATTTCCTTTGATATCTCTAATTTCAATAATTTTATATAAGTATGAAAAAATAACACTAAAAAATTAGTAACTTATATTTAATAAACAATATAACAAAAGCTTTAATGACTTTCTCCTGCTTTGCCAGCAATTCGTTTGAAGTCATTCATATTTGTTGATTCGACTGGACTTCCAATTATTTTTAAATATTTGATCACAGTTGTTTCTTCGCTACCCTGGTTACTTGCAAAAAAAATCACTAAATTGGTAACATTTTGAAATTTAACAAATCGAAGCGGAATTAATTTCTCTCCTGTAATATCTTCCTCTGTTAAATCTATGTGCTGAACACCTTCCATACTTTCTGCTTGATCAAATCCTATCGCGCTTGGCTGGTTTACAAACAATTTCACAAATTTAGGACCTCTTCCGTCAGTAGGTGCATCAATTTTAAGTGAATGTACTTTCATTGCCTGATTAAAAGTGATTGACAACAGCAATTGCTCGTCACAATCACTTTCGAGGTATGTGTTATCTTTTTTGAAAATGTTTGCATGAGTGTGTTCATCGCTCTCATTTAAACAATTGCACCCTGATGCCGTTATGTAGCTTATGAGATCAGAATGACCAGGAACCTCTGATTCTCCTGCAGAATTACTACCAGTACCTATGGAGTCGCCAGAATGTTGTTTAATTTTCGCAATTAAAGCTTTAGGATCTGCGCCTCTTAGTTCGTCAATTTTTTTTCCTTGCAGTACAAATACAAACGTTGGCATGGCATTTATGCCATACTTATGAGCAGTCTCTGTACAAACATCTACATCTACTTTGAGAAATACACTATTGGGATACTTAAGACTTTCTTGTACAAACACAGGAGCAATATTTTTACACGGACCACACCATGTAGCATGAAAATCTATTATAACTAACTTTGATCCAGCATTTTGGATTTCAGACAAAAAACTTAAATCATTAGAAACTATTTTTACATTGCCATTTGCCGCCATTTTAGCAACTTTCTATAATAATTTTATAGAGCGTTCTTAACTTAAATTGAACTTCGCGCACCAATTTTTGGGGTCGTCCTAAAAATTTGACCCCTTCGGACCCTGTTGCCCCTACGACAATTGTCGCACGATCTAAAAATATGATTGGGTACTTTTTCTGTTTCAGCGCGTTGTTTTATATTTAAGGAGCAAACATGCAAATAGTGTTTTGTCACAAAAATAAAAAAATATATGATAATAAATAGTTCACTTATATAAATTTCATAATATAACGCAGAGATAAATGCTACCGTTTACTATAGTAATATACAAGAAGTTTATTGAAAAAGAAATACTAATACTAATTAATAGGGTACAAGCTGGTAATGTTTTTTCCATTTTTCCACACATTTAATCCGGTGGACAACACAAAAATGTAAAAAAGAAATAGTGTCGCAAATTGTCGCATTATTGATTGTCGAATAACATAATAAGGAATAATGTTGCGAATGAGTTTAATAAATAGTGTTGAAAATAAAAAAACAGAATAGTGTCGCAAATAAATTTGAAATGTTAAAAGTTGAAAAAAGAACAAAAAATAAAAAATAATAATAACTATAAATGTGTATTTAGATAAAATGTTTGATGTCATACTGAAATAGCCTGCTGCCGGGGATTTTAGTACATACACCAACTATCTTATAGCCTGCTTGCGCAAAGGAGTGCCGCTATAAGACTGAGGGTTTGAAGTTCATTTTTCGACACTATTCCTGTCACCCGACAAAACACTATTTGCATTTTTCTCCTCATTTTTATTGGCTCGTACTGAACAACGCAAACAATTTTTTTCACAAATAGAATCTAAACAAAAATAAGTTTGTAGTTGTAATGGAATCATTAGGTCGTAGGACACTGCTGCAGCACGACCACAGTCGCACAATTGTTGTGTGACTATCTGGAAACCAACCTCAAGAATACACTCCCTTTTCTATGCATACATTCTTTTATGTTGGTAAATAAGGATAACTAGTCAGAAAATTAAATTTTCTATTGGTTAGCTGGCAAACGATGGACGTGAAGGAAATCACGTTATTGTCCATCGTTTTTTTTTTTTTTTAAGTTTTTATTTTTTCAAAAAATATTTAGATATTAATACGTACTTTTTAGTTTGAAAAAGAATAGAAACCTTAACCCCTTCCCACATACGCTTTTGCGTACGATTTGCAGACACCTTTCCCCCTTCCCACAAATTGGGTAAATTAACTTTACTCAGAGCGAATGTAATTCAGGCACTTCTATTTAGTAACTCCGTAAAAAAAAAATTAGTAATATAAAATACAATAGTTTAAGACCTGTTTTTTAATGGGATTCAGATTAAGTAAAACTTCCGTTTTACTTAAGGCTAGTGCTGTAAGGGGTGGGATGTGTGTGCATAGGGGGAAAATACACTCCTTCGCGTATATCTTTTTATATTGACAAATTAGGATCTTTAGTCAGAAAAGTAACTTGGATGAGCAACTTGGATGAGTGTACATTTCAAATGAACAACCCCTTATTTTCTATGCGTTAGCTATAGCCTAAGAGTCTATTGCCGCCAGACTGAGGTTTTTTTAAAAAAGCCTAAAATTTCTTTGAGCATGCTTCCAATTTAAGAATGGTCAACTATCAAAACTGTATTATCATGACTTTGGCAGGTAACAGGTACTAAAGATGTTTAAATACTGGCTAAATATTATCAATAATGCCTATTTGTCTTATAATTTTCTTTGGAATAGTATTAGAAATCACGTCATTCATGGCAAATTTAATAACTGTTTGATAAAAATTGGTTTTATTCGCTACGATATTGAGGGGTTTTAATATCACAGTGTTCCACTAGGTTTCTAACGCATTTATTGAAAAATTAAGGTTAAAGTCCAAATCTAAAAAAACTTTAAATCTGAAGATGGTTATGCATGTTGCAACAACTAATTGAAAATCAAGATGTTAATGTCAAACTAGTTCTTTCAGATGAAAGTTTAGTTGACGCATTACCAGTCGGCTAGAATAACTCAAGACGCTTGAAACCTAATTTTAGAAGTAAATAGAGCTTTGTGTCACGTGAAACACGTGAGTCCTCGAAACAATAGTTTCATTGTGCCTCGGTTGCGATTTTGAAGTAGAAATGATTACATATTAGTCAATCCCATAATTTTTTTTCGACAACTAATTTTATGAGGAATGGCTAATAAGTGGTTATATTTAAATGAAAATTTGCTTTATTTATATTTTTTCTTGATAAAAGTATTCGTGCCGATTGTTTGAAGTTACACTTTTTATGATTTTTGAGCGATTTCCAAGTATATTGGCGCGAATAGATTCTGATGTCAAATTCAGTTAATTTTTAAATGATAGTTTCTTAATGTGTTCCTGTACCAAAAATAAATGTGCTTAATAATTTAAAAAATATGTTGTACCTATCTTTCAATGATTAAGATAGATACATTAACACTATCGCTACTGTAAAGTGATTTTTTGTTGATCTTTGAGGTTTTTTCCTACAACAAACCTTATGACTTTTACCTCATTTTGATATCAAATGATGCTTTTTTTTTTTAGATACTGCTACTGGAGCCTTGGATCAAAGAACTTTGTTGTAAACTAAACTAGATCTAAACGAATCAATGTGATTCAAAAGTATATATACACATTTTTTTTGTGGTTATTATAGGTGCTCCAAGAAGACCTGAGATATTGCGATGATTGGGCTGGGAAAAAAAAAACCTAAACTTTTATCCCCGCTGCCCCAAATGTGAAGCCAACAAGTAACTAAAAAAAATTTTCTATTCTTAACTAAGTTTATATTTATTAGTAAATTCTAAGTTTTATAGCATTATCTTTCAGCATTCATAAATTATGTCCATATATTATGTTTAAGCCCCCTCAATTTGAGGCGGCTGCAAATTTTTGGATGGTTATAATTTTTGAACGCTTAGAGATTGTAAAACAATGCTTAAAATTTATCGATTTAAAATAGATATATTTTAATTAATGAAATAATTTGTTTGCAAAAATATAACAAACAAATTATTTCATCAACTTAGTTGCTCTCTTGTTTGGGGCAGGAATATAAAATTTTATGGTTTTTTTGTTCCCAGCCTCCAATTATTGAAACTTTTTAAAAAGCATCATTATTTAACATAAGTATGAACATACAAACATTTAGATTTTGCTCCATGTTAGCTACCTTAAACCCCGAAAAATGCTGAATCCATCACTGCCATAAATCTCTTGTTACTGAAGCAAATTTGCTTCAGAATTCAGCGTTTAAACGCTGCAAATGTACAATAAGTATTTATATACGTATAAATTTTCAACGTAAAACAAATTTCTCAAGAAAACATGTAAAAAATTAAATTTTTAAGTGTACTTTTAAGGTTCAGAGTTTCCAATTAGGTATCGGATCAAAACTCAAATTAAAAACACTCAATAACGAGAAAGCAGTCCCCCGTAGCTAGCTCCTTGAATCCACTTTTATTCAAATCTTTATTTGAAGTAGCTTCTGAAGCTTTTACAAGCTCATTACACGCTCGACATTTTCTTGAATAAATTTTACTGTAAGCACAGCAAAATTGAATTTTTTATTACAAAACATTTTTTTTAAAACAAGAAATGTTTTAAGAAATAATTATCCTAGTATACTATTTTTTTTTTAAAAACAAAAACTATATTTCTTGTTTTGAGAAATAAATTTCTTAAACTATGGTTAATAGATTTACGATTTTTTTGTGAGTTCTGATGAATTGTTAGCAACTTTGAATGATTTTAAAAGTTTTGGAATTCATTGTATACAAAAAATCTGAGGGAGTCTCATCCGTAGACATTTTTTCAAACTATGACCTAGAATATCAAAAATTAACTAGTAGTCTGGTGAACAACTCAAAACCTAATGGTATGTTGCGAAAATGTTATTTATATCAGAAAGTTGCTGTTTTTAGAAAAACAATGATATAAATTCTCATTCAAAAAGTGTTTTAGATGATACAAAAACTTGTAATGCAAGTTGAATTTTGATGGACCTAAATTTCTTTTGAAAATATTGTAAAAACCTGTAAATAAATAAATTCGTAATTTTTTATGTGATTAAAATCATTTAACTCTAGAATCAGTAAGAGAGTCAAATAGCAAAACATAGGCAATTATATGTGATAAAAATCTAACTCTAACATTTATGTGAAAAAAATCTAATTGTTGTTTTAACTAAAGGTTTAATGCAACTTTTCACGTCACATTTTATAATCTGATCTACATGTCTAATCTGGATACAACCATCCGATGTCAACACTTTGTAGTTGACATTTCCAACTGCCGGTACAATAATGACTGATACCCATTTCTCACTCCCAATATAATTCCTTACATAAACAGGGTCTTCAGTTTGAAAGAATCGACTTTTATTACTAAAAATATCTGGAAGCTGCGTTAAGTTGATTTTAGTGATGGTCTCAGGAAGTAGCATCGACAATGAATTTCTTAATCTTATACCTAAAAAAAGTTCAGCCGGAGAAACTCCAGTTGTAGAATATAGTGTTTTTTTTTTTTAAATATCTGAGTTAAAGTTTTATTTTTAGTGTCGTTTTCGTATAAACTACGAATAAGTTTGTAAGCAGGTCCCCTGAAAGTGGATATAAAAACTGCTTTTTGTAGTTCTGCATCTTTTATGTCATTAACCAGTAAATAATTTTCAAATGTATTCAATAAAATCATCATTTTCTAAATCAAAACTCGGTATATTAGCTAAATGCATCATTTTCACTTTGTCGCCAACTGTTATGACTACGTTAAAAAAGAATAATACTGCTATAGAAAAAAACTCAATTAATTTAACCACAAATAACGAGAACTCTAATGAGTTGTAATAATCATAAAATATATGTCCATCCTTCCAGTCGGCGTGACGTCATTCACTATAAATATATTGTTTTCAAATTAACCATTTAGAAATTTTAGATGGTTAATTAAAAGTTAAATTTTAGACTAGAATTGGGGGAAAACAAACTAAAAAATCAGTTGCGGTTTGTTGAATGATTTTTTTTTAATCCCAAAAAGTTGTTGTGCAGTTGGTTGCACTAACAAAATAAAAAATTAAAAAAAAAAAAAACTTAAGTCTTCCTAAAGATGAAGTACTTAAAAGAAAACGATAAATCGTGCTGAAGATAAATGTGCCGTGCGCAGTGGTTAGAGCGCTTGCTTTATAAGCAGAAGAGCGCTTGCTTTAGAAAAGGTGCGGCCGTGGCGCAGTGGTTATAGTGCTTGCTTTATAAGCAGGAGATCCAGGATCGAAACGAACTTTGGACATATTTTGCATAACGGTAAGGAAGGAAGCGTGAACTTCCTGGTTAAATGCACTTCCGCGGTGCTCTGTGACAAGACCGTTATGACTTCTTTGGGCCCCTAAATAACAAATTAAAAAAAAAAAAGATATTAGTAGCAAGCAATCGTTTTAAAATAACATGGATCAAAATAACAACAAGTCAATGATATATTATATAACTAGTCTATATATTATATAACTAGTCTAACTTCGATCTGAAAAGTGAAGCCACTTCCCAGCAACCACATAACGTTATTTCAACGTTGCGAAATGGTTGATATATGATTAAAAAATAACGATCTAAATTTCAACGTTATTTCAACGTTATTTCAACGTTAGTTCAACGTTAAAAAAAAAAAAAACGTTGAAAATTTCAACGTTGATTCAACGTTTATTTTAAACTAAACACAAAACGTTGCATCAACGTTGAAAATATACGTTGCATTAACGTTGAAAATATACGCAGATATAACGTTGAAATTTAATTATGAGAGCTTGCCAACGCAATTGTGCTAATAATTTGGAATTAAAATAAAATTTATTATTTAACATAGATTTGTGCGCGGGAAAGTTCTTTTTAAAATTGTTAATGTTATAAAAGTAAAAACACTAAAAAAAAATTTTCTTTAAAATATGTATAATTTTAAAAAACATTATAAGAATTAGCATTATACACAAGTTTTTTTTAAATCTTTTTACATTGTGTACAATACCTTACATTGTATATTTTTATATAAAATATGCAATAATAATACTCATCTCTAATCCACATCTAATGCAATAAAATATTCATGCAAATACCATTCTCTAATCCACCATTTTTATATTATATTTAAAAAATGGTGGATTCGAGATGAACATTTGAATCATTTAAAGATGTTTTTAAACATATGTAAAATTTACAATCAAAGTCTTATTATAATTATGAGACTATAGTATGGACCAGTATGTTTTGGTTTGTATAGTCAAAAGACAATTTTGTTTGTGTGAATGAAAATCCACCAATTTGAATAAAGAATGGTTTTGTCCATTGTTCGAATCGAAATGCGAAATTTGCAGTAAAAAATTAAAATATAACACAACAGTTGGTTGGTATAAGCTTAAACTAAAACGTGATGAAACTACAGATATTATAACCAATTATATATAAATGATTATTACATATATGTGCAAGAGTAGTATTGAAGACCATTTAATCTTTATTGAATCTTATGTAAAGTATTTATTGTATTCTTTTTGTTAGGGATTAGTAAAATAACATCAGGTAAAGTCAAAACATATATAAATTGGATTGCAGACATTAAGATAACTCTAAAGTACCCGACGGGCATTTGTTTTTAAAAGTTACGATCTAAATGTATTTTAAATGTCTTTTAAACGTCTTTTAAACATTAATGTTTAAAAGACGTTTAAAATGCCGGTCGGGTAGGTTGATATTTTCGTATTATCATTGCTGTTGTTTTTTATATTTGCTGTATTATTAAAATAAAATAAAGATGACTTGCTCAATAGAACAGAACGAAAATTTAAAGCTTTAGTTAAAAAAGCAAAAAATAGACTAGTTAATGTAAGCTTTGATAATATAAGAGATAAAGTATAAAATAAAGTCATTTTTAAATATATCTACTTAGTTTTGTCAAGTTCATATATTGCTAATCCAGAGAGAAAAGCCAATTAATGAAGATCTCTAATGAACGAAAATATTTTTTTTAAATGTATTATTAATATTGAGCTGCTCAAATGTAATGGAGTTAAAATTAAAATTAATAAATAAAACACATTCTGGTTATATAATGCAAATGTCATTATATAAACATTATGAAAGTAACAAACAGGGACGTCCTTATCCTTTTTTCTTCAATTTAGTCGGCAAATTTGATGTTTGTAAAATATATTTTGTTTAAGTCAGCTAAAAATAAGTTTAATAAAATTATTAAACGAAGTTAACATTAATAAACATTATTTTATAAATTAATTAAATTAAAATTAAAACTCGATAGCATTTGAATCGGCTGCTTCGATGTCAGCCTACTGCACATAAATAATGCAGTGTTCTCGGCGTATTCTGCGGATATATTTATGTTCTTGTTTATAATCATAAATGCCTCTTGAGTTAATCATAAATGCCTCTTATAATTATAAAATTATCAATGTTTTTTATATAATAGTATTTCTTTATTTTTAAGTGTTACTTTTTATTATTTTTATGATATCTGAATTGTCATGTAATAATAAATCCAAACGTATTATGGAAGACCAGATAGAGAGATCATTAAATGACATTCCTATTCCAAAGTCATCTGTTGAATATGTGAGTTAATATTATAATTTTATAATAAACTTTATTATTTTATAAATTCGCATTATTTTTTGTTTCATTCAATAACTTTAAAAATTATTTAATGTGATTCATTAGTTATAAGTTACCTTTAGATAGATGTTGAATCAACTGAAATCTCAAATATTGCTAATCAGTCTGATGAAGTTTCATGGTTGTCATGTGCTGGCCAATTTGAAAACATAATCTCGAATTTAGTTGAATGCAAAGTAATATTGAAAAAAATGAAAACAGATCCTAGTCCTAATCCAATAGTTTTTCTTTTAGAAAGTTGGCAAATTATTAATAACATTTATTCAAAGTGTGAACTATTTTTAAAAACATCTGGTGTTATTTCAAATAACATTTCTGAGCATTCTAAAGAGATACCAGATCACAAATCTGGTATTCTATTGAACATGATCCAGGTAAAAGTGGTGTAATTAAGAAACTTTCAACAAAGACAGCATCTTTTAAAAGATGCTGTCTTTGATCTCTTATTATATATATCTGTTATCTTATTAGTTTTGACTAATACGGACCTAATCCTAATTAGCATTAGGTCCGTATTAGCCAAAACTAATAAAGTATCCAATTAATAGTAAAATAGATAAATCAAAACAACAATGTTTTAATCCTTCCTGGTATAATGAGTATCCAAAATTGGAGTATAGTTTAACTACAGATTCTGTGTATTGCTTCATTTGTTCTTTATTTCCTAAAGGAGCAGGAAGAAAGTTTTCTAGTAATGCTTCGGTGTGTGATGGTGTTAAAACATGGCACAAAATGAAAAGTCGGGATAAGTCAAAATTGGGTAAATTGGAGCAACACTTCACATCTTTTTCCAACAAAGCTTCTTTAACAGATTACTCCAGTTTTATGAAGAATTCTATTTACATTGATGTAATCTTAAGTAGATTTAAAAGACAAAATTTGATCAAACTGGAGCATGAAAAAGAGTTTAATAGATAAATTGTCATAATTTTTTTTTATGTTGTACGAACACTATCACGACAAGGTTTAGCTTTTCGTGGAAACAACGATGAATCAAATGGTAATTTTAATCAAATTATTCAATTAATTTCAAGACACAATCCATTAATGAAGCAGTGGGTCAACGATATTAAAATGCGTTCTAATAAGGTTTCTTATCTCGGTCCTCGCTCTCAAAATGAAATGATTGAAATATTAGGTAGTGAAGTTAAAAAATTTATTGTAAAAGAAAGTGAAGAGGCTAGTTTATTTTCGCTAATGGCTGTTACAACCCCAAATGTATCTCATAAAGATCAGTTAGCGGTTTGTGTGCGCTACGTCAACAATGAAGGGAAAGCTGTTGAAAGACGATTTGAATTAAAAGAAGGAGTAGATAAAACTGGACTTGGTACCGCAAAACACATTTTTAAAGTATTAGGCAAGAATGTTATAAACACAGGAAATTTAGCGTTTTAGTCGTATGACTTATCTAGCAATATGTCTGGGGAAGTTAATGGTGCCCAAACCCAACTCATTCAATTAGTAGGGCATAAAAGTCCCCAAACACAACTCATTCAATTAGTAGGGCATGTCATTCCATTAGTAGGGAATGTCATTCGTTTATTCGTCAATTAGTAGGGCATGTCATTCCACCCAACTCATTTAATTAGTAGGGCAACTCATTCAATTAGTAGGGCATTCAACAAGAGCATAAAAGGTGCCCAAACCCAACTCATTCAATTAGTAGGGCATAAAATTTTATACATTACTTGCCAAGCCCATAGAATAAATACATTTCTTAAACATGGTTGCAATGCTAGCATAGTTGTATCGAGTATGATTGATAATTTAGAGAGTTTATATGTATTTTTTTCATCTAGTACTAAACGTTATGGAATGTTGAATAATAAAATGAATAGTATAGAAAGTAAATTACATTTAAAAACTTATCAAAAACAAGATAGACTGCAAGAGCTGGATCGTTCAAAGCAGTTTGGAACTCTTTTGATTTTTTGTACAGTAGCTTAAGTAATATATGTTCAAATCTTTTGTTCGAACACCAGAACAAAAACACTTGGTTTAAATGAAAAACTCTACTCTTTTGATTTTATTGTATCTTTAATGTTTATAAAAAATATAATGTATAAACGAAAAGCCTTAACTGAAACACTGGAAAAAAGTTTATGTATCATTGATTTATGTATCATTGATGCCACTTATCTAATTGATATTACTTTACAAAATTTAGAAGATATTAATTCAAATAACAAAGCTATGGATAACTTAATTGACAGTGCAGTATCATTTGCTTGTATTCTTGGCATTAATCCGGAGGCTGATTTTAATCTAGACCGCCGCACTATGCGTCGCGAAGCGGAAATAGGATTTTACTTACTTTTCAGAAAAAATTTTTCAATTTTAATATTTCAAATATTTTTTAACTGAAACAAGTTAGTATTAGTTAATAAAAAAAAGATTTTTTTAAATTTTTTTAAATTTGCCTTTTTAGGTGCGGGATTTTCAGGGGTAAAAAAACCCATGTTTTCACTAAAACTTTAAATTACATAAGATAATTTTCAAATTTCTTCATTTTTTTTGCACATTTTTTAATAAATGATACATTTCGTAAATTAAAAACCAAGTAAAGAAATAAAAATGTTTGGATCATTGTTTTTGGGTGTCTGTAAAGATTGATCGATTAGACCATGTTACTACAGAGGTAGCCAGTTTTTTATTTTTTTTAAATTTTCTCAAACAAATTGACTTTTTATAAGTGAAATAATATTCTGGCTAAAGAATTATATTTATTTATTTTAAGCTTTATTTCATTTAAACCGTTATTTCAAATGCTGTTGTTTCCTTTAAAAAAAGAAAATATTTTGATCAATAATATTAAAGAAACTTTATCATTATTTCCAGCAAATATCAAACTAAAATGTATAGACATTGATGCCATTTAAGCAGAAATGGATATATTAATTGGGATTTGTAGAAACAACAGTTCAAGTAAATTTGAAAATGTTATGAAGACATCTGAAAAAATGAGAAATGTTTTACCATGGGCAAATCGAATTTGTAGATTAGCATTAACCGCACCGATAAGTGTAGCAACAAACGTAAGAAGCTTCAACAAACTTCGTATTGTTAAAAACTATTTAAGATTAAAAACAAATGATAGTAGATTAGATTTCCTAATGCTTTTGAGTATAAAGAAGGATATTGTTGATCGCCGAAATCTTACTGATATATGGGCACTGTGGGAAACATTAAAAAACCGCAGAGTATAACACAAAAACTGTGAAAATAAAAATGAATATATTTCATATATGTACAATAAAAAAAAACTATTTAAGTCGGCATTTTACTGGTTACAAAAATTTTAATCGGCAATTTATTGATTTTAACCCCTTTCCCTCAAGGTTTTTATCTTCGGGACGTCCCTCGTAACAGAGTGTAAATTATGACTTTTTTAATTAACTTTTATTACTCTGGCATCATAGATAATTGTCTTGGATATGTCAATATTGTACCATTCATGACAACTTTCTGCTATTAGTTTTTTTTTACACATAATATAATCTAAATCATTAAGTTGCATAGATGACAAGTTGTTGAATAAATTTCTTATATATTATTGTTATTATTATTTTCTTTATTATTATTAATATTATAATTATTTATTTACTTATTTCTTATTTATAGTATTTATAAAAAAGTTAGCATTTATAAAAAAAGAAAAAGTTATTAAAAGTTGCTAACAGCATGCTCAAATTAGAGCTAAGACTTCTTATAAACAGACTTTAAAACAGCAAAAAAATTATAAAAAAGAAGAAATTTAGGGAAAAAGCTGTTTATAAACAGCTTTTTCTTTTTTTTTTTTTGATTAAATTTATTTTAATTTCGGCGGTTAATGGCAAATAAATTAAAAACAAATTTTAACTTGACTAGATCTAAAATCTACCAAAACAAACAAAAGAGATTTTAAATATTTACAATGTGTTTTTGGTATGTATATTATATTTCTTTGCGCTGCTCCCACCATATAAATACATACAACTGCAGATATCTTGACCCTCCAGGGGACCAAGAAAAACGGTTCCACTAAATGAATGTTTAACTTAAGCGATGTATAACTGCCTCTAAGGTTTGTGTTATGTGTGTATATGCGTTGGTGTATGATGTTGATGTATCTTTATCCAAATAGGTTATTATCTTAATCAATATAGTAAATTAGGCACGGATCAGTAATGGGTTGTTTTTTTTCCCACTATTGATCACTTAATGTTCACATTCGCTTGTAAACAATGTGAAATATAATAATTCTTGTAAAATGTACAAATGTACTCTACTTTAAAGATATTTTTATTTAGATATACGATAGTGGTGTAGTTGTAGAGCGCACGCTTCATAATCGAGAGGTTCCAAGATTGGTTCCCACCACGTCCCTGGTAGTACCGCGCTCAACTCGTTTCTCCACGCAGTGGCCTTGTCGTGTTTCGGAGTTATAGATTTGAGAGAGGGTTATAACCACAACTAAGTAGCCTCCTCGTTTGTAGTGGCCTTCTCGGCGTTGGGGAGGTGAAATACGAAAAAAAAAAAAAAAAAAAAAAGATTCAGTTACCTCATGTTCTTAAATAAAAAGACACAATGCAAAAAGATAGAATTTAGACTGTTTGAAGCTTGCGCCATATTGATTGGATCGTGATAAATGTGCATCAAATCAAAATTAGTGCAATGACAAAAGGCGATAAAAATACATATGAATTTCATATCGGTGATGAAGATAACGATATCATGATTTTATCAAGATCGTTTTAAAAAAAATTTTAATTTTCTATAAGTTTTTGTTCCAAAAATGAATAAATTATTTTTTTGGTTTTATTACCTTTCAATAATTGCTTTTTGATTTCTATAATTTAGTTACCTGGTTCAAAAAAATGGTACAGGGCAGATTATTTGAAATACTATAACAACAGTTAGTACTATAAGATAAACTAATGATACTAATAATGATAATAAGTGCCCAACAGGGCACACGACATTACTTCGACGTTGATTTACGGTTGGTTTTTAGTCGCGACGTCGCCAATTATTTTTCCGTACACCATTAGCAGTATCATTATCCGTTGGCAGTATCTTTTTAAACAGCCGATTATTTCGAAATGAAAACATTAAAAAGTGGGCGTTTTAAATTAAATTTAAAAATCGAACAAACAAGTCTTTTTTTATCAAAATATCGCTTTAATAATTAATAATTATAAATGCGACAACAAATTTAATTTTTAAAATATGGATTATTGACCTATTATTATTATTGTTATTATTACTTCTACTATTGTTATTGTTGTTATTATCATTATCATTATTATTAATGTTATTGTAGTTGTTGTTCTTTTTATTATTCTTATTACCATTTTCATCTTAATTAATATTTATATGATGTATTACTTAGATATTTACTTATGTAAGTACTTATATAGGGTTTATAGGGTCAGGGAAAGTCAGGGGCAAAAGTGTGTTTTTCAAATGGATTAGGGAAAGTCAGGGAATTCACTTAGTGGTCAGGGAAAACAGTTGCTTTTTTTCTTAGTGAGTCGCAATAATAAAACATTTCAAATTCTAAATTTCATTTATAACTAGGATTCTTATAAATTGTAAATATTTGGTGGATTTAGAATGTCAAGTGTTAGCAATGTTTAAATGTAATCATTTTAAATATAAATTATTTTACTGACTGTTTAATATTTTTATTTTTGAAGTTTTATTTTTTTATAAAATTTAATCTACTATCTAATGTTTGTTGAAATTCTGAAACAAAAATTGTGTATCTTTTTTAAATTAGTATTTTGAATAATTGTAAACCTTTTTCCTAAATAATTTTAAGTTTTTTTAATTTCTTAAAAACTACCTTTTATTTTTAATATTTAGTTCTCACTTTTTTAATCCTTTTTTTTTGTACCAAACATTTTAACTTGGCAAAGACAAATTAAAATACATTGTTAACTATGGAATTGCACCTTATTTCAGTAAATTTTTAAAAGTACAAGTCTGTGCATCAGAATGACTGACTGTTTGAACAAAGTTTGAACATGGGTTTAATAGTGAGGTTTTGTCAGTGTTATCTCAAGATTCCGAAATAGTGAAATTTTTTAGTTGTGAGAGCACTAGACTTAATGATTTCTTTTTTCATAAATCCACTATCCATATGCCAAAGAGTTAAAGTCTGTTCTAACATTAGTTTTAGTCACAAGTCATGATCAAGCAAGTTTAGAGAGAGGACCTAATGTTAAAAAGATTGTAACCAAAGGTAATTTTAAAAAAGGATCAATAATATAAAGAAAGATAATAGTAAACCATATGCAAAAGAACAACCTGATACTTTCAACAATAAAACTAACAAACAAATTAATAAAATTTGTGAAAGGTGCACGCCAAATTATCAGCTAGACCTTGATCAAGAGAAAAAGAGTATCAAAAAGAAATGTGTGGGAATTAAAAATTAAAAAAAAAAACAGTTCAAATTTTGGAAGAGAAAAAGAACAAAGTAAAGTGAAACTAATCTCTTTTTTTAAAAAAAAGATATTACTTTATTGTAGCTTTTCTTTTTCTTTATAAAATAACTGAATTTCAAGATAAAGATATATAAATTTTCTTGCTTTTTCATTTAATCATTACAATATGGGAAAAATTAAAAATTAAAAATAAGCTTTATATTAAGTACTTTTATTATATATGTTGGTGTCAACGCATGTCCGTGTGAGTACTTTTTTCTGTATGTGAACGTTAATCCAAGTCAAAGTGAGTTAATGAGTCAAGGAAAAAAGGGTAGTTTTTAAAAAAAAAAATTGATGAAATAGGTTGTTTTTCAAGACAAAGTCATGAAAATTACTTATGTTTTTGAGTTCAGTCAGGAAAATCTTTCATTTAGAACATGTATGAACCCTTTGAAATGTTACAACCTTTTCTAAGAATATATTTGATTTGATTTGGTTTTTCTTTACAATCTACTGTAGCAATGATTATAATTAAAGTTCACATTTAAACTAGGGATGTACCGAAGCTAAAATTTTGCCGAAGCCGAAGCTTCGGCCGAAGCCACTTTGCCAAAGCCGAAGCTTCGGCCGAAGCCGAAGCTTCGGCACTATATACGCTAAAAATTTAATCACCATTCAGGTCAGCAGGGGTGTAAA